CGTCTCATTTCACCTCCGGCGAGCGCAAGATGCTCGCTGACCGGTGGGGCTCAAAGTCTGGTCGATTAGGATCCGACAGTATCCGCAAGTACGACCAATGCTCCTTGTGTCTCGATGAAGCATACGGTCCAGTCGTGTGCAGCCGAGGACATTTGACGTGCCACGAGTGCGCATTGACGGATTACATGCATCAGGTTCAAGAGAATGAAAAGAGGATGAGGGAACTGGAAGAGTTGGAGCGAAGATTCGAAGAGGAGAGGGAGGCTGCGAAGCGAGAAGCGCGTACAAAGGTGTTGCTGGACTTTGAGAGGAATAGCGGCGCCTCGTCTTCCTCCCTGGCATCTTCCAGTGCTGCCAAAGGCGTCGGCAGTAAGTCGTCGGCACCTGCCCACCCACCCATGCGAGGCGGTCAGGCGCTCCTCCTGACAGATGCTCGCCCATCACAGGTTCAAATGGCGTCGGCAAGTCCGCTCCGGTCACAATAGCACAGAAAGCTCGTTCGTCATCGCCCACGCTCTCCTCGCTTCCAGCGCGTATCGCAGAAGCGACTCGAGCTGCGGAGGACGCAGCGATGGCCGCATTAGCAGAGGAGCAAGCTCAGGCAGCTCGAGCCAAGTTCCCAAGCTATTGGGTGCCCAGCCTCACTCCCGATCTCAGCAATCATCAACTCTCTGCTGAAAACCTGGAGATCAAGAGGAAGGAGAGGGCAAAGCTCGCCAAACCTAGATGTCTCATTGGTGGCGAACCTGGACATGCAACCTCGTGAGTCGAGCGGCCAGCGATGTGATTCTTGCTTTCATAGATCACAAGTTGACTGATGTCCGCGCTCCCCTGCTAATTCGCAAAAACCAGCACCAAGCAGCTCGTCGGTGTCAAATTTGCACGCAGTCCTGACGGCGAGCGCAACATTTGTCCTTCTTGTCGCAAAGGTCTGAGCAATGCAAGCCACTTGCACGGTAAGCAAGATCCGCGCATCGCGAATGCAGCTCTCGAAAGCATGCACTCATCTGACGGAGCTGCTCCACCAATTGTCCCCACCGCGTCAGCAGTGCTGCGAAGATGCGGCCACGTTTACTGCGCCCTGTGTATATCTACGCTCGTTCCTTCTTCAGCTTCATCGTCTGATGCAAAGAAGGATAAAGCGTCAGAGAGGGAGAGCGACGCCCCTGCTCAGTGCCCGGAATGCGACACCCGAATCAAGGTTCCTACCAAGGACATCCTTAAGCTGCACAAGGAAGGCACAGGGCACATTGGTGCTGGAGGTGTAGAGGTCACTAAAAAAGGTCTCGCTTTTTTGGGCTAGCTCTCGCTTCTGCTTGACAATGGGCACACTCGACCGTATCTCGTACATACGTTCAGGAACGACAGCATGCGCATCTGAATCCGCAGGCGCGCCTCAGTCAAGCTTGCTCTGGTGGTTTGGGCTTCGCTTTGCTGCGCAAAAGCCCTACTGCAGTGTGAACACCGACTCATAGGCGCACTATTCGGTGGAGCATCGATTGCCAGACTGACAGCGCCGAAGCGAGTCATGGATTATTCGCGTTTGACGCGGTCGCTCTACGAGCTGTCATGCGGTCTTTCGCGCGGTTCGGGAGTGGAGAAAGTGCTTTTGGCTGCGTCAATGGGACATTCTGAATTCACGTCGCTCGTTCGCGCCACACATTTGGAGGTGTCGCTGTAGTGGTGCAAAAGTTTTACTCTTCGAACAGGCTTTCGGGCAAGCATCCGCAGCTGTCCTCGTGGTCTTTTTTGAGTTTATCGGTACCTGACTTGAATTTGCGCAGGGCTTCCACGTCATTCTTGGCGAAGTGAGAAACTTGGTCTGCTGCTTTTCGAGTGGTGCCATGCATTCTTCTTAGCACTTGCTGAACGATGGAACTGCAGTACGCGCAACCTCAGCTCAAGCATGCTCGGCGCGAGCTGGTTCTCCGCTCATGAAGACTCACGTTTGCCCGTTAAGGACAGCTATGCCATTCGCAAACTCGCGGCGCAGATGCAGAAGCTCAGCTTCTTGTGCTGTCATGCGGTGCTGTATGGCAGAATCTGCTTGCTCAAGTAGCGCCTACAGACAGGAGTAGCAGAGTCAGCAACGCCATCGCGGATTCAACACCAGCGAGCAGGACACACCTGGACGATGGCATCTGCCGCGGCGCGAATACGCTCGACGATGTCCGCCTGGTGATTCTGGCTCTGTTGAGCCGCATCGGTGTCCTTTGAGTGGGTTTCTTCCGGTTGCAGCTGGTTGATCTTTCGCTTGAGCAACACGTCGCTAGCAAGTGAAGCAATCGTGTCTTTCGTGCTTACAACGCCGAGGTCTATCGGATCTTGGCTGGCGAATGTAAGCAAGCCTTTTTGGTGGAATACTGGCTCATGGCACGCTCGGCGCTCGACCGTAGTGCTAGGTAAATTTCGTTGTGACAGGTCATTATCCTGCGACGTTGGCACGTCACTGACTATGGTGACCTCCTCGCGTGAGCGCAGAGGATTCAAGCTCGTACAAGCTCTGCTGTGTTGGACTGTTTCAATGTTGCGTGTGACTACCGGCGATCTTGCCTGGCTGCGCGCTTCGTGTGAGGGGCGCAGGGGACCATCCTCCTGCAAGCGCAGGAGAGACTTCGAGGTGGCCAGCGGTCTACGGCGCCCCGACTCGGTGGAGGGCAGCTCGTTGTCGGTCGATGGCAATGCTACAGCGGAGTGAATTAGAACATCGGTGAGCAAGAGCACGCGAAATGACTGATGGCACCTGCAGAGTGCCAAGCTTACGGTGTGCAGCTGAAGTCCCTAGAGTTTCACACAGATCATTGATTGGTGCTAGCTCCGACGCGCCTGACATGCCACCTAGCCCGCTGTCGCGACCTTTTTGCTTGCCAATGCCTGGCTCACCGCGTGAAGCACTATGTTTGTCCAGCTCTGGCCGCACCTTCTCTTGGCCAATCGGAGGCGGCGCCGGCGTGTCGACAGTAGGCTGCTGATCGGGTCCACACGTTGATGCATGGTGAGAAGCTTGCGCCTCTTTGGCTAGGGCGGTGGGAGCTTGAAGTTCTGCGCTGCAGGCCTTTGCATCGTATGTGACGTGACTGTGGTCCGCGCCGGCTCGTGCTGGAAGTAGGGTCTTCTCTTCTGGTATAGCTTGGACGTGCAGGGTGTGCAGAGCCCGTGCATCTTCCATCAGGACGGGTACGTTTGCCTGCATCCTGTCGGTCTGCTGAAGCTCTTGTGAGCGCTGGCTGGTTCGTCGCCGCATTGCGTCTTGACTTGGTGATGCAATCTGTCGTTCGGCTTCGTCGAGGACAGAGGCCGGTTCACTAGAGGCTTGCATGTCTGCAATACCGTCGTCATAGTTCACGTCGAAGTCAGGCAGAAGGGCTAAAGGCCCCTTGACTGCTGGAGCTTCGCCCTTTGCAACCGGATCGCCATTTGCCAAGACACGTCTTGGCGATTCGGCTGGTTCTTCCGGGGTCTCCAGAGGATAGCCACGATCATGCTCCCTGTGCGTAATCAGACGCTTGGTTTGAGAGACCATCCATGGAGCGGCTCTGGCCCTTTTATGAGGTGAGAGCAGCTTAGTAGGAGACTGAGCCCCTCTCACGACTTCGGAAGTCTCGGCAGATGTGGCGGCGGCTGAATCTGCGTCGTCCAGGACTGGAGTCTCGGAGACCTCGGGAATTGCCTCGGGTGCGGTAGTGTTGAGACCGCTTCGCTGCTTCGAGACGTCTTTTGAGTGCACCGGGCGACTGGGCTTCTCGATGCTGAGTCGTGTTGTCTCAGTCCGCACCCTTTGTTTTGTGATCGTCGACTTTCCTGATTTTTGGGCAGATGAAGGGGCGCCCTTGCGAGTTTTTTTGCGAGGACTACTGCTTCCTGGAAGATCATCGTAGATGTCTTCCTGTAAGATGACGTTCTCCGAACTTTTGTGATCATCAAAACGGGCTGTCTTTGCCGTCTTCTTGGTGCGTCCGACGTCCATGCGCTCGACTCGGCTTCGCTTTACCGGCACCCCAGAGAAGCTCTCTAAGCGGTCGGCCTCGATATTCTCGTCGTTCGCGCCGCTTCGTGCAGCCTTGGATTCACGTCCTCGTTTCTTTCGCTCGCTGTGCATGGATCTCGAGGTCTCTTCGAGCAACGGGAATTCATCGTCGCGTTGCGGACGGGCCTGCTTGCGCCTGCCTGATGAAGCTAGAGCCGGACCGTGGGTCGCAGACTTGCGAGCCTGCCCAGCGGGATCAGCGACGTCATGTTCGCTTCGCGTCTCAGTAGAGTTGCCGGAAGCGGGATTCGCTTTGAGCGGGATCCTGCGCTCGGACGCTGCTTTGGTATCGGTCCCGCGCATTGAAGGAGGCTCCTGTCCTTTTGTCGTTCCTGCAGCTTGGACTGGAGAAAGCGGCCGGTCTGCACGTGAGGTTGAGTTCCCTGGATGCCGATCAGCATGGGTTCGAGATCCAGCTTGAGGAGGCTCAGCCTCTTCAAGTCCGCTTTTGCGCAAGGGTGTGATACCATCGGCAGAGTCAGCATGGCGAGCAGGCACTGCAAGGTCATTGACTTTTGCGCGAGGCTTGGGTCTGCCTCTTGGTGTAGAGGATGTCAGGCTGCCAGGAATCTCTTTCCTTGAGGCGTGCTTCTCCTTGACAAAGGACGACGGCCTTTCTTCGCGCACGGAAGCTGCTTTCTGGCGTGCCTTTCCAGGCTGTGACTCTTGGAACCTATGCGCGATTTCACTCTCATCGGCCAGCTCCGAAGTTGTGCTGTGATCTTCTGCGTTTACGCGTTGATCGGCATCAGCAACGCTAGGAGGACCTTCTCGTTGAGAACGCGCCCCGTCTAAGGGATCAATACGTAACGAATCAGCATACGCAGCACAAATCATCCGCGGCGCAAACATCACCGCGTTTTGGTGATACCCACTTTTTGACTGCTCATCAGCTCTGCGAAGAGAGTAACGAGACTCGCTGTCGACATGGGACGTCCTTGCCGAACGCTTTTGAGCAGAGACGTGTTCCGAAGCCCGGGGCACTCGCTTGGGCGCTGCTGCCTCCGCTTGTCTTAGACGCTTGACAACGCCAGGCTGACGCCGCGGCCGGTCCTGCTCTTTTGACTGTGCTTCAGAGGTCGCAGACCGGCTCACTGAGCTCTTCAAGGTGTGGTATTGGTTTCTCTGATCCAAGGATAGCTCTGGCGTCACGTCATCCGGCGGCTGCGAAGAATCTTCGGGTGTAGACACGTTAGCTGTAAGCTCTGATTCCTTCCGCAAGCTGCTTTGTGCTAGGGTCTGCGGCTTTCTGGGATCCGTCGAGAGAGCCGAGGTCTGGTGACCGTAAGCATTCGAAGCCGCAATCGTTGGAGAGACGGACATCTTTCTCCGTGGCAACGCAGCAGGTAGAAGACCCTGATCACTAGCAAGAGACTCTTGTTGCGTCGGGGGCATGTCCTTCACGAATCCGCGGGGTCTGCGCGCACAGTCAGACGTCTGCTGGTCCTTATGAGACGTCGCTGTGCTATGATTGCGGTTACCCTTCTCGCAGTCCTGGTAGGCACTCGATATCGCTGACTGCCGTCGTTCATTGATAATGGCGACCGCGCGCTCCACCTCGTCCGGTAGAGAGTAGATTCGCAGATGACGGTCCAGAGACGAGGGCGTTGAGCCAACAAGTACATCCACGTTAGCCTCGATCAGGAGTACGCTTCCGTCTGTCTAATTAGTCAGCTCAATACTTGGAGCGAAGGAAGGTTTTGGACGGAACGTACCTTCCTCGGAGGATGAGACTTTCGCCAAATGGCCATATGGAAGGTTGATAGAAGAGTCTTGAATGTCTGTTGATCCCTCGTCGGCATCAGAATCCACGAAAGCTATGTGGATGTTCTCGCTTTCAAGCCACATGTCATAAGGCGCCGCGTCCTGTTCCGGACGGACCAAACGAGTCTGGACGAGCTTTCCTTGCGCGCCAACTTGCAGCTTTTTGAAGACCACGCGCTGCGATCTAAGGCGCGAAGAGTGACCGTAATTCAGCTTCGTGCGCTCGACTTCGCCTGGGCTGCATTATGTGGAAGATATTCGCACCGTCGAGAATCGTACTCGCCGAGACGAGCCAGCATCAAGGAGGCGGTCTCACGCCATTTGACAGACTTGAGCTGGACAGCCAGGTCTAAAAAGTCTTCGTATAGCTTGTCGTGCTTCATAGTCTCCTTCAGGGGTCGGAAGAGCTTGCTTGCAAAGTCTCGTTTCTGTTCGTCCGAGACCTTGCTGGTCTTTGAGGAGCGTGGGCGCAGCTTAAACACCGTGTTAAAAAGCGACAGCGCATCGAAAGCTGGGGGCGAAGTTGGCCGTCAGCGATGTGTTCGCGCATAGGTAAATGGATCATCGTACCATCTAGTCGGCACAGTGCCAGCCCAAGCTCAGATCTGCGGGAACGCCAATTAGCGCGATGGGTCGGCAAAAGTCTGTTTATAGCCACGGAACTTGGGGCGCAGTGTCATACTCGCAGTGACAACTTGTCTTCAGCTAGATGCTTGTTATCCCCAACGGCCCAGTCAATCGTGAGTATGCACTGTCGGGATAAGGCAAACGCTCAAGCGGCTGGAAGCAAGTCGTTGTGTCTCCCAACAACCTACCATGTAAATCGCTTCGTGTCCGAGCCGACCGCCGTAGTTCGCCAGAGTTACAGAGTAGACCGGCAGAAGATCAAAGAGCCTGTCTCGCTCTGAAGCAGAAGCGCATACATCCATAAAAGGTCGAGCGTGGGCGTCGCCTCTATCGTGCTCTGCCATGGTCAACACTGCCACGTACCTTTCGCTGCCATAACCAGCGTTGCGCCTTCATCGTTCTCTCGTGCGCTCTCGACCAAGTTGATGTAAGCGAGATTTATGCCGTACGCAAACCAGGTTGCTGTCTCCTCCCAACACTCGACCAGCTCTCTACATTGCTGGCCATCAGTGCCAAGCGTTAGCTGAGCGTTTTGTAGAAGCAAGGTGGGGAGGACAACCTCCCAAGCTAGCCGTTGAAAAGCAATTACCAGAGAAGTAATTGCGGATAAATTTGCGTAACCAAGTGCTGCGACAACATCCTCTATCTTACTTCCTTGATGCTGTAGCGCAAGAAGGCGATGTATTCTTTCGAAGATGGACCTGTCACTCGTCGAGAGCTGAGCACGTTGGGCAACATGGTCAATTGGATCATCTTGAGGGATCAGCTGCGAGGCATGCTGACTCACCACATCAGCGAGGGCGTCGCAGATGCTGCGAGCACTTTTCGCAGTGCTTGAATCGAGGTCGGTCGAGCGGCTCAGCCATCGCTCGACCTCAAGGCAGGCCTGCCGGAGCTGCGAGGCCAGAGTCTTTAGATGGGCGGCCCCGCCCACAGGCGGAGACGTTCGAGGCATAACCCAAGTCAAAGTGCGGCTGCTGAGGTGGGAGAGCTGTTGGGTCAGGAAGGATGAGAGGTGAGACGGGACAGAATTATCATGCGATTAAATGTTAGTATGCCTCGGTGCATGACTCGCGCATACATTGATGTATGGTAATCCGTCTGAGAGGGAGGTGATGGTGGTCAGTCTCTCAAGATGCAGGTCATGAACCGCGAGGCTCTCTGTTTTGTAACGGGCGCGATCGAGCGAACACGCGCAGCAAATCAAATTAGCCTGTAACTCGCCGCGCGTCACGCGACGCGAATCCTATCAAGTGTCCAAACTGTGACTTTACAGCTACAGGTGATCACCACCAACGTTCACAACGCACATTCTGGTCACCAACAAAGACTTTCGGTCGCATCTTCCACGCAGCAAGCAAATGTGTACGTGGTAATTCCCGCAGTGCAAGGTCTGCAAGGAGTCCCTTAGACCTCTTGACCTGCGCTTGGCCGCTTGCGGCCTAGAAGGCTACGCTATGGCAGCCCTGGAAGCACCACGCGCCAGCAAGCGACGACGTGGAGCAGCTGGTTCAGGTCTCGGCTCTCCAGACATCGAGTCATCATTAGCAGAACCTTCAAGTACGAATCAGAGCTCGCGCAGAACCTCGGCTTCGACATCTGCATCCCCTGCGCTCTCGCCTGCCTCGTCTCGTGGAAACACGTACGGCACCCGTAGTCGACGGGGTGCTCAACATCTGGGAGCACATTTCGGTACCAATGCACTGCCGAACAGGCCAGACCTGGTTGCTGAAACAGGTCCATCTACCTCGGGGCTGGCTGCTTCGTCTCCATTGAAGCTGCGCGCGGGATCTCCGGCCGGAACGCAAATCTCCGCTGCCAGCACCCGAGAAAAGAGCGCAAGAGTAAAGGAGCGACAAAGAATTGCGTCCGCTGGAGGCACTTCTCTCTCTAATGGTCCAAATGAAGATGTTGCTGGTGGCTCTGGCCCGAATTTGAGTGCGGAGGATGAGGCTCGACAAGCACAAGAGCAAAAAGACGCAGAGGAGATGTGGCAGCGATGGAGCGAGGAGTACTTCGAAAGTAAGTCTTGAAAGAAGCCCAAAGCCTTCCCGCGGGCCAGATCCATCTCACTGCGAGGGCAGCTGCTTACAAGATCGAGCTCTCTTCGCGACGTTATGCTGGTCAGTCGTCGAACAGCTGCCACTGGAGCTCCATCGATCCTTTGCGTTGATGCGGGAGCTGGAAAGCAAGCTGCAGAGTAAGGGGGTAGCTGCGAGGCTCAGCAAGGGATGACAAAGCGCTGAAGCCCTGATTCTTCTCTGTGTTAGGTCGCATCAAGAGCACCGCGACCAACGCGCAATCTTACCGAGACGCACGCCTCGCATTGCGGACCCAGCGCCAGCGGCTTACGGACTCTGGTGGTCTCGACAATGGCAAAAGGAAAGCCTTGGACCCAGATACGACCGGCCCGGATCGACTGACGTCAGACGAGCCTCAGCTAGCCACGAGCAGCGATGGCAGTGTGCTCGTCGCTGCGCCATCTTCAAGCCCGGCTGAGGCTCGCGGCGATGTTGAGTCTGACGACGGCGATGTGACCATCACTGGGGCCAAATCCGCAACTGCTGAGAGGAAAACGATCACGTCGCCGATTGCCAACATTCCCGTCAGCCGTGTGCCTTCCAAGGCTGCTCGAATGGCCTTGTTGCGAGCAATCTCTCATTCCGTATCAGAAGGCATACGCGCTGCAGAAGAAAAGGTGGGCCTCGCTGTCACTGCGTACGATTGGGTCGACAGGCACATCCGTCGCCTCGACGCTGATCTCCAAAAGAGCGAGAATAGCCTGTTGCTGGGCCTCAGAGCAGGTACGGAAGCAAGTCGAGGTCTGCGCGAAGCGCTCGGAATGGACGAATTTGAGGAGCAAGAAGCTAAGCGACGCGACGCTCTCGCAGAGGACGACAATAGCACGGCTGCTGGGACGCCAGTCGCTGCATTCTTCGACTTTAGCAGCGCTCGCGGTAGGCCTGCTCGCGGGGGCGTAACCAGCGGCAGAGGTTCATTCGCCCGTGGAGGCAGGAGGGGAAGGACAGACTCACTATCGCCGGCAGCTGCGATGTCACTGAATTCTTCTCTGGCTCCTGCCAAGACACGAGGGGTAGGCAGAGGTGGCAGAGGTGCAGGTAGAGGTTGGAGGGGTGGCATGCGAGGCACTTGGTCGACCTTTGCAAGCCAAAGATCGGGTCAGCAAAGCCCTACCGAGACCCTACAGTCGCTAGGCAGCCCAAGCTCGTCTGACTTGAAAGGCCTGTCGAGCGCATTGACAGCACGAGCAGGCAACAGCAATCTCATCCCCGACATGGCGATTGACCCCAACGAGCCCAGATATTGCTACTGCGATCAGGTCAGCTACGGCGATGTGAGTAGCGCAAGTCTTTCGAGCCAAGCCGCGGCAGCAATCTCAAGCTTCTCTGATGTGCACAGATGGTCGCTTGCGACAACGACGACTGTCCTCGCGAATGGGTGAGATAAGGCATCGAGCAGACTTCAGAACGCGAAACCTGCGCTGAGTCCTTCTGTTCCACTCAGTTCCACTACAGCTGCGTTGGTCTCGATTCTGCACCCAGATCGAAATGGTACTGCTTGTTCTGCGCTCCAGCCAACTGGCCTGGACGCAAAAACGCCAAGGTGCCCCCAAACGCTCCGTGTCCTCCTCCGGGCCATACAAGTCGGTAGAATAGCGCCTTCAACGGCACTTCTGAGTGCGCTACAATGTGCCAGACACGCATGTCGTCGTATAGGCAGCATGCGCCATTAGAAAGGTAATGCATTCATTTCTGACAATGTCATCGCACAGCAAATAGCTGCACCGTCTCAGTGCGCACGGCTTTGGCTCCCGTAGGAGGCGATGTGATGTAGTGGAGCTCCACATCGAGCTCTCTAGAGTTTCCCGCGGATGTTGATACGTGGATGGTTCCCTCGATGACGTCTCCTATCGTTGCGCAAGACATGTGGGGTGAGTGTACACTCTTACGCCTGCTTCCATTGGGCGAGCATGACGATTGACGCACCTTTGGAAGCCTGGATAGGCTCCTTGAGAATGAAAAGAGTCTGCTTCCAGTGCGTCTCCCTGCCCGCAGGACCAGTCGTGAAGCTGACCACTTCGCCGCCATCTTCATCAGAGGCAGCATCAACGATCGCACCACCTCGCAGGTTCATACCTCTGACATCTGCAAGCTCGGGCGTCCTCGTCTCGCAGGGGGGTAATCCTGCCAATTTCTCGCCACCGGGCATTTCTTGACGGCCCTTGGATGGAAGAGGCAAGTGATTCGGCGAGAACCAAGTGTCGAACCATGAGATGAAACCATGCACGGTTGTCGATGAGCTCATGATCAGTGAGAAAGGCGCGACAAAGGTGGGTTGTTTGGAGGGTATGTGTTCCAAAGGCAAGTCCTGGTATGACAGAATCGAGAGATGCGTTAACGCAAGCGCCCCACCTCAGAGTGTCCATCATCACTCACCTGTATGGTAGCCACACTGCTGACGATGCTTTCGCTGGAGACATGCTCCGTCCACGCCTCATCCTCCAAGCCATGCCTCATGCTATGCATCTCAAACCCGTGCACGTCGTTCCAAAAGTCCATGCGAGATGTAATAAGCTTCTTGTCGGAAAGCGCTGCAAGCGTCATTCTCGAGTGCGATGGTGCCAGAACGCCGCCAGATCGAAGGTACATGTCTCGCGCATAGAGTACCGAGGGCAGCATTGATTCGTAGAGCAGAAAGTAGCCCATCCACTCGCTGACGAGAAGATCGACTGAGCCTTCGTATGCTTTGAGCTCATCTTTCAATTCCTCCACTTTGCCCTTGACAACCCGAATCGTGGTAGCGAACCCATTTTGCCTCACGTTGGCCTCTGCCCTCTCCGCGACGTCGCTCGCATCAATAGCGATGACCTCTTTCGCCCCTGCTCGTGCAGCCAAGAGGCTGAGAATTCCACTACCGCAGCCAACATCCATGACAGTCTTGCCGCGTATCAACGAAGCGTTGCGAGGATGCAGCAAGAATTTGGCGTAGCTCAGAGTCCTGACTACGTCCGAAATCATCGTTTGATGGATGTCATGTCCAGCGTAGCTGGTGAAATAGTGAGAATCGTCGTCGCGCTTCAGAACCTCTCTCGACGCATCGGAGGTGCGGGTCGCTTGATCAGATCTACTCTTGCCTTTGTCTGAAAGATGACCGGCAGGGGTGTCGAGCGAAAGTACAGACATGTAACGTTGTCGCAAATCTTCGAAGGAGAGCTGTGATGACTGCAAAAGAGTTTCCAGCTCTTGTATGCGAGCCTGCAGAGCACGGGTGGGATGGGCAGCGTCTTGCGGCCCATCTCTCTGCTCCATCAATTCATCGAAATCGGTTTCTGTCGACGAACAAAGGGCCATGTGAGCTCCCAAAGTCAGCACAAACCTGCACGAAGAATCGCAAAAGTGACCAGAATGCGACTCACGCAGCAAGCCATCGGACTCCGCCCCTTTGACTGGCATGAGCTCGGCGTCGTCGTCTAGCCAGGCTTCCTTACCAGTCAATTCAGCGACTGACCGAGGAGATAACGCTCCAGCCTGGCCGAGATTTGGCTCCAACACTGCTCGTCTCAAATGATTGAGCAGCCTGATGATTTGCAGCGGGTCCAGCTGAAGCCTGGCCACAACCTCCACCACATCACATCCCCTACCGCTCGCGTCGTCCAGCGCTTCTTGAGCCGTCTTGAAGCAGTCGAGTTGCCCGTGTGCATTCGGAAACAGAGCGAGGTACCTGACCTTGCGGCTAGAGTAGCTTTGCGAAGTAGATGCGTACCCCAGCGACTCGTTGCCCTGAATCTTTAGCGCTGCCCCGCTTGCTTGCTGCTCCTCTTCATCCGATATCCAATCTCCCAAGTCGTGATCGTCTTCCGGATCAAAAGAGGAGTCGGAGTGGTAAGAAGCGCTGCCATCTTCTGATGACCTCTCTTGAGCTTCATATCGAGGAGCTCCTGGACCTCGCGGTTTGAAAGGCTGCTGCTGTGAGGAAGGTCCGGCCATGGCTCAAGTTGCGAGCGGCGATGAGCCTTCGGGTCTCGTCTTACGCGTCTGTGTGGCTGATGGAAAAGGCGGGTTTGCCCCTGTCGTAGCACTGGCACATAGAGATAGAAGAAGCCTGCACTTTCTAAATGGTGACTGTTTGTGTGAAATCGGTCACCGCGGTATGGCGCTGTGCTTATTGTGATGATAGCAGCTTGGTGGGCCGACTCCGAAAAGTCAAGGTTGAGAGAAGCCATGAAGTTTTCTCGCACGGGAAGAAGATCTCGGGTTGGCGGGGAAGCCGCGCGTGCGTGAGCGCTCCGCATGGTGCACACTGCACGCCCTGCAAGCCGTTGAGCCGCTGGATGATACCGCAGGGACTGACTGCACCGGTGCCGACACAGATATCGCGTCCTGTCTCGCCTTGCCACATGCAGGCTCTTGAGCTTTGAGCGTGAGGCGAAGGCCAACGCGAAGCAGCATCATCATCAGGGATGGCGATTACGAGTGTGAGTGTGAGTGTGATGAGTATATGTGAGTGCACACAAAGCTGTCAGCGGGACCGCGAGGAAGGCGTGCAGCGGGTTTTGCCTGCCGTGCGTGGCCGTTCGTTGGGTGCAGAGTTACATACACTCACGACTCGTGAATATGTATGCACAGTATGAGTATGTAGCTGCACCCTATGCCCGTTGCATCCAACTCGCTCCGCTATCCATCCGATCCGCTGCCACACTCACGACCATATACGCGACACAGACGGCTGTCGAGCACGCGCGCGGTGACCACGTCATGCTTGATCATTACCACTGCACCACCACGCACGATTCGTGACTCAAGACTCACGACTGTCGTTGTAGGGTCATGAGCGCGATATTTACTCACGACTTTTACCTCCAAGCGAGCGCCGAGCGCATCAGGGCCGTGCGCCAGGGCTCAAGGTTGCCCTCTACTCACGGCTGTGCGCGTGTATGCATGCACATGCACTGCGCGCACATGCACATGCACACATGGCTGTGCGCTGCGATGGGCGTGCCTGTACTGTACAGTCGTGATGAGTAGCTACGAGAGCTGATGCTGTCTCTCTCACGCGGAAAGGTGCACGCCGCCGCATGCCAATCATTCACGATTCTCTTTGACTGCAGTTGTGAATCACAATCTTGAATGTGAATATGAGTGAAGCGTGAATGCTGGGATCAACCCCGCCCGCCTATGCATTTTCGCAGCGCCGCAATCTTGAATAGGCGAGCAGCAAGCTTCCGACGAAACTCATCCGCATACACTAGCTGACTTGATCTTATTGACCTTCTTCTCACCCACCACTCACTCGAGCTAGATCCTCTCCTCGAAGCCGCGACATCTGCGCGCAGCAGTCACCCACTGCGAGCAAGCGTGTACCTTGCCGCACCTGCTTAACCCCTCTCTGCACATCCTCACGCGACATCAATCTCTCACACCACATTGGCTTGTATTGACAAGACTATGCCACTCTTCAAAGCTCGCCGGGGAGGCTCAGGTGATGATTACTCCGCTGCTGGTTCTGCCAATGCTTCTGGTCACGTCAGCGGTACCACCACGCCTGCTACAGGTAGTGGATCTGCCGCCAATGTAGGTCCTAATGCCGCAATCTTGCGGGTTCAGATCCTTCGAGCCAAGGAGTTGGCCGCCAAAGATCGAAGCGGAGCGTCGGATCCTTTCGTCATCGTCTCCCTACCCGGAGCTGGCAAAGCATACAGGCGCCAAACGCCCGTTGTCCCCAAGTCGCTGGATCCGGAGTGGAAAGACGCAGACGCTACATTCGACTTTGAGATTCCCAACGAGTGGCTCAATTCGGACGGCCTTGCGACCGGTAATGAGGATGAAGCGCCCTCTGTCGCCTCGGGTCTACAGTCTGCTGCTGGTGTCGCAACTGCTCCTTTCAGCACAGTAGCCGCTCCAGGTGATGTGGACGAGGATGCTGCCGCTCTCGGATCTCATTCCGCCGGCCGCGGTCTTCAAGTCAGGCCGGAGAACAGGAGGCGCATTTCGGGAGCTGCAACAAAGATCTTATCAGCGCCTGTGCGCATTGGAGCTCGTGGAGCGGTGGCTGGTGCCCGAGCTGTGCGACGTCGCACACCTCGGCCTATACGGCACAGGAACGCTGCGTCCGCGCACGGCGATGCACCCGGAGGTCAGAGCATTTTCTGTCCCGCCGCTCTGGAATTTGTGGTGTGGGACAAGGACAGGTGGACAGCAAACGACTATATTGGCGAAGTGTCTCTCCCAACGCACGATTGGTGCCGAGATGCTTGCTCATTCGACACGCAAGAACCCATCTGGCTTCCTCTGGTCTCGTCTCGCCGCAGACTCACGGGTCAGCCAGGGTCCATTCAGGTTCGCGTCGGTCTCGTCACGAGGTCTTCCACGACTGCACACCTGCCGCAGATCTTCGAGCGGCTTGTACTGGCCGCTCACACCCAGGACAGTCACCCGACCAGAGCTGTGCCAGCAGACCAAAGTGTCGGTACGGCAGGCCCGGATGAGGCCTTTTTGGACAATGGACTGAGCTCGGGCGATGACAGCGATGAGCTCGAGGAGCTGGTGACTGATGATGACGAAGATGACAATGACGATGAAGATGCTTCTGACACAGATGCAGCCGGAACGGCGACGGAAGCAGAATCGGACTCTAGCATGTTTGACGAACACTTCAAATCTGTGGTTGGTGGTGCAGGTGCTACTGCTCCTTTGGGTACTGCCGCTGTACCGCAGGCCTCGGCTGCTGAAGCTGCTTCGATCGGTCCGGTAGACGTAGCCGGAGTCAGCGCTGGTGCTCCAACAGCTGGCGAGGTGCCATCGATCTCTGCACCCGAACAGAAAGGCGGCAAGCTTCGACGAAAGCTGGGAAGAGGTTTCTCGTCAAGGAGCATCATCAAGACCTCGTCCTCCACGACGTCCTCCACGGAGGCTGCGCTGGTCACCGACGGTGATGGAACTATTGACGATTCGAAGAGGCGACGACGCCGTAAACAAAGGAAGCCTACGGATCCTACACAAAAGACCAAGGGAGGGAAGAGGAAGAAAACCACGAAGAAGGGAAGCTTGGACGATGAGTATGCTTTCAAGGCTTCGAGCGACATCATCGGTATCGTGCAGATGGAAATCAAGAGCGCCTGCGACTTGCCCAGATGGAAGAATAGTGAGCTAGCTTCCAGGTCTCCTGCTTGCGGTCAGACGAGCATTTGCTTACGTGCGCACCGGGCCTCGGCAGGCTTGCACACCGGCTTTGATATGGACCCAATGTGCATTGTGTCCTTCTCCGACAAAATTTTCCGAACGCGCGTGCAGCGGCACACGCTCAATCCCGTGTGGGACGAAAAGCTGCTCTTCCATGTTCGTCGACACGAGGCGCACTGGAAGACGAAGCTGTCCATCTTCGACTGGGACAAGTAAGTGAAGCGAGTAATAAGCTCAAAGTCCCATCGCTGACAGGTCTCTTTACTCGACTTTGCTCAGACTATCGGCACACGATCACGTAGGATCGACCGAGATCAGCGTAGCGGATCTTATTGAAGAGGCCCCAAAGCCAGATGTGCAGACCAAGCTGTACAATGCCGACGTCAATGCACTTGAACGGCCCATGAGACGTTTCGAGCTGCCTTTGTCGAAGTCTGTAAAGGACAAAGCAGACACAAAGTCGCAATCCCTCCTAGTGGTGGAAGCTAAATTCACACCCTACGACGCGTTGAGGCAACGCTTCTGGAGGCAGATGCTCCTCAACTATGACAGCAACGACTCGAAGACGATCAGCACCCTCGAACTGACTAGCATGCTGGACAGCCTTGGCTCAACCCTCGGGTCGCTCACGATTCAGGAGTTTTGGGTAAGCATTCGCACACATCATGATAAGCGCTCGAGCTGATGAACGATTTGCACTATATCGTACAGCAACAACACAACAAACGTCCCGATGAAGACGACCTGACGTTCGACGAGGTGTGTATGTTATTGTGCAAGCGCATCATTGACACATGCTGACAACGTCTTGATCAACTGCCCAGGCCATTCTATCCTTGGAAGCCGAAGTGAACAAGACGTGGGACGAGAAGAGAACGGCGAGGTCAGATGGAGACGTCAGCGGGCCGGCGAGCGGGACGGTCACTCCAGCAGTCGAGGTGACGGCCAACGCGCTGGACTACTCTGGCCCGAATGCCCCGATCGCTTCGGAGACACAACTTGCCAAGAATGCTGGTCTATCAAGCCTTGCAGCGGTCGAGCCATCCGCTTCTGAAAATGAGCCCAGCTCAAAGCGGCTCACTCCACCAGGTGCCTCAATGCCGGGCGTCATTGCGCGCGATATGAGTCAGCTATCCTTGTCCTCGTCGGCCACATCAAGCTCAGCGAACTCGACCTCAAGCGGCCCGCTGGCCAGCGCGCATCGAGGTGCCTCGTCAGGATCACCCTTTTCGCAGCATGTAGAAGGTGCTCCGAAAGTGAACAGCCAAGTCAAGGAGCGCGTCATCTATTGCAAGTCATGTCCACTCTGTCACATGCCACGCTTAGGGAGAAAAGCAGAGGTCGACATCATCACACATCTAGCTGTCTGCGCTTCGCAGGACTGGAGACGTGTCGATTCTCTGATGGTGTCGAACTTCGTCACTGCATCACAAGCACAGCGCAAGTGGTACACTAAAGTCCTGACTCGCATAAGTCAAGGTGACTACAAGCTGGGCGCGGACTCTGCTAACATTATCGTACAGGTGAGTTTATCTGACGAGGTCGCTACGGGACTCTGTACTGAGCCCCTTCATCGGTTTCCCCTGTATAGGATCGCGTCACCGGTGAATTATTGGAAGAAAAGATGGCAGTGTACGTTCGGCTTGGTATCAGACTGCTGTATCGAGGTGGAAAGTCCCGCATGGAAGGTGCTCGAGTGCGTCGCATGCTGCACAACATGAGCGTCAAGCAGGGCGCAAAATTCGACGATCCAGCGTCTGCCCGTGAAATTCCTAGCTTCATCGCGTTTCACAACTTGAAGATGGACGAAGTTCTGGAGCCGTTAGAGAAGTGAGCAATTGCGCAAGGTCTTGTCAGCGTTCGTCGGGCAGGATCGAGCTCACACCGCTCGTTGCCAATGCGCTCACCTCGTATGTACCAGTTTCAAGACTTTCAACCAGTTCTTCTACCGCAAGCTCAAGCCGGATGCCAGGCCGGTCGAAGAGCTCGAGAATCACAAGAGGCTAGTTTCTGGTGCAGATTGCCGCATGCAGGCCTTTCAGTCTGTGGAAGACTCGAAGAAATTCTGGATCAAAGGCAAACAATTCACGATTCCGAACTTGCTAGGCGACCAGTGCAAAGACGCCAGCGCGTACGACAATGGACCGCTTGCCATCTTTCGGCTTGCGCCTCAAGATTATCACAGGTATCACTCCCCTGTAGATGCTACAGTCGGCGAGATCACGCCGATTCCTGGAGAGTACTATACGGTGAGTCGGCAGAGCAAGCTCCTCATTTGGAGGTAAGCGCCTCTGACAAGTCTGTCGCTCGCAGGTCAATCCTCAAGCTATTCGGTCCACCGTAGAGGTATACTGCGCTAATGTGCGGACCATCGTCGAGCTTCACACGGAGGAGTTTGGTCGTGTGCTGTACGTGTGCATCGGCGCCATGCTGGTCGGCTCCAGTATTCAGACTGTCAAGACTGGTGACAAAATCAAGCGCGGCGACGAGGTGAGCAAGCCTTCGCGGTCTTTCTTTGACGACGTGCGCACTGCTGACGATGCTCGCTCCATTCCGGGTCTAGATCGGATACTTCGCTTTTGGAGGATCAACCATCCTACTGGTGTTCCCCAAGGGTGCTGTCGAATTCGACAAAGATCTGCTAGATAATTCCAAGCAGTCTCTGGAGACCCTCGTCCGAGTGGGAATGGGCATCGGTCGAGCACCACAATAACCTCGAGCCACGCATTTCAACTCCCCATACGCGTTGTGCCGCTCTCTCGTGCTTGTCAGACAGAAGACCATTCTCACACCTCTGTTGTTTTTTAAGGCGCACGAGCTACAGGCATGTCAGAACCTAGCAACGATTGCATGCAACTACTTGGGCCAAGAAGCGCATCAGATCTTCGTCTAACGTCTCGAACCCTGAATCGCAGCTGTCGGCGCGCGCATGTTTGAGGATGGCCTCAGCTCGCGCGGAACGGTCAAATGATGGCTGGTCAAGCCCCTTGCTCGCGTAGGACATTGGTCGGGTTGGTCAATGGCTCCGCAAGGCGCAACGCGGGTGCTTGCTGAGCAAGATTCCATCCACGTCACATCAGCAGCGTTGCTACGACTCACCATGCAGCGCGGGCGCGCACAGCTATAACGACGTAACGGGTGCCACGCAAGATGAGCGGCCAGCAGATATGCAAAAGCGCATGATAGGTGCTAGGGCGAGCGTTCAGGCACACGCACACGCGCCTGCCGGCATATGTGCGCGCTAATGCGCTAATGGATCCGGCCTCTTAGAGCGGTCCCGGCGTGCAAGCAAGCCCGAACGATGCGCGGCCGCGGCGGGTGCAGCACTCACGACTGCGTGACTGACTGACTGACTGCCTGTGACTCTAGATTGGTACAGTAATTGCTACTGCCGCAAGAACGCGTACTCGTGGCTATATCGCTCACGCTCGTCGGATGCAGAAATCAAATGCCGGGCATCAGGCCTTAATTGCGCTTGCTGCTGTGGGCAGATCGGAGCAAGGAATGATCCTTGCGTCCCGTGCCTTTGCTTGCTGAGCCGTCCAGTCGCTTTGAGACTTGAGTAGCCATAGGGTTTGTCGGGACGTGCGACCTCACTGAGAGTCTTCTGCTGTGACCCCGTCCCTGATCTGCTTCTGCTAGGATAGCGGGATTGCGGCTGCGGCATCATGGCCGCCTCGGATGATGAGAAATCGTGAATAGTCACGCTTGTGAATTGAATCTCGGATGCTGGTCGGCAGTGAGCCCACCAGCTCGGATGCTTGATTGGACGCGTATTCTGCAGCGCAAGTCCTGTATTTCGGCGCTTACCCGTCGAGATTCGTGATTTCGCTACAACAGTCACGAGTGCACACGCTACCGCACGCCGAAGCTCATCTGACGACGTGCGCTAGCGCGCGCTGTCCCTCGCAATTCTGTCAGCGTCTCATCTCTTTGGCTGCCCCAGCCACACTGTAGTCACAGTACCAGCACCGGTTCAAGCAGAATGCGTCGACGGCTCACTGGTGACTGGTAAACTCTGCTCGGCTCTCATCTTGGCAAGCTGCTATGTGCGTGACCCTCATAAGCGGCGCAATCCAACAGTCGTGAGTGGGTTACGTTATGGTTCAGAAATGTGTTACGCAGCGCGCACTGTGACTCTCACTTTGGAATCCTGGTCACCCTGAACGACCTCAGGTGCGCTCTTCTGCTGTACCAGACTAGCAATAGCACAGCAGCGACCTCATGAAGCCAGCGGTATATCAATACTTCTGCCGCCGCGACGTAGCAAGAGTGGCTTGCCTTTGGCCGATCCTCGATTGCCAGCCTCGCGACCGTGCTTATTCAGGCGTCTGCCGGTACGAGGACGAAGCCAGGTTTGGGTCAGCAAGTACAGTAGGTGGACTGGACTGGACCTCTTCGGAATGAATCTCCAAGTCGCGGCGCAGCAGCCGCCTGTCGCTCGCTACTCCCCGATCCCAAAGCTGCAGCCGGATGGGCGGGCAGACTCCCAGCGGAGATTGAAGCCCTGCATCCTTCTAAGCCAAGGTTTCCAGCGGGACGCGGTCCAAGCGTCGACCAGCCGAGCGCGTTCGGAGATCGCGTTGAATTCCAAGCTCAGCTCACGCACTCGATGACGCTTGATATACGCGGAGCGGCTTGCAGCACGGGCTTGGAAGACCGCATCACCGCGCCAGCTCAATTATGAGCGTGCAGTCAAAAAGAGAGTCGTGAGTCGTGAGTGCTGCTGCTGGCATATGCGATCGTGAATCTCCGCCATACATCGAGCCAGCCACGCATTTCCTTGCCGCGCTCAATGGATTCCGAGCACCTGACGTGATGTCCGAGACGTACACTCAGCAGTCACGAGTCCTGCGGGAAGGTGGCCCAGGAGCAGCTTGCGCAGATCAGACCCTCAACGCAGCGCTACCCTGCTGCCAGCCAGTGTCCCTCACAAGTCCGGTGACCGAGATTTGAGCTCTTCATTTGAATGACCTCAGCTCGGTCGATGCTTCTGATCCAATCGTGAAAGGCAAGCTATCGCAGTCCTCATCACTACGTGTCCTTCGGGAGACTGTTGTGATTTGTTCTCAGCAAAGCTGTGAAGCTGACGGCCGCTGTCCATCGGGTTGAATGGCTTGCCCGAGCAAGCTGGCAGTCAATCACTGCGACGTGGCTCTGCGACAGCCACACGACTGCTCCCTACGCACTTGCTGCCCCAGATTTGGCTGGGCTGGCTGCGAGATGCGCAGTTGCGTCCACTCTGCTGGCCTATACGGTCGTGGCTTAAGCACGTTGTGGATGGGCCGTGCCAGCTAGATGGCACACTAGTCCGCTAATTGACTCTCCACTGCATGTGTGTGATGCAATGCAATGCAATGCGGGCCGATGTCTTGCTGCGCTCCGTTTGGCTCTCCGACCTCATGCATGCACACACCTGCTGAGCAAGTAGAAGGAGTGTGGCAACCGCCAGCAGCTGCAGCTCGGCACTCCAACTTGGAACAGCGGCGGTGTGGACCCAAGATCGTCCGCGACCTTGCGCGCAAAAGGCAAGGCGTGCCTGCTGTACATCGACTGCCGGGCCGTCGCTGCTCTTGCTACTACTGCTGCTGCTCCTATAGCTGTCCTCCTCCCATGAGTGCAGATGCGAGAGCCCCTTCATTCGGATTCTTCATTTAACTTTCGGTCAGGGAGCTTAGCGCTAGAGCATATACCACTAAAACTATGGTCCGCGACCAGTCTGAGATACTGCTCTTGTGCTCTTTCTGCGGATGTGTGTGGAAACGTCAAGGGCAATCTGACAGCAGCTGTATGACCGTTCGTTTCAGACGCCGCTCCTCGTAGATTGCGGGCATGGAAGTCGCATGGCCTTCCTTCCCTCGCATCTGCTTGCTGACGACCCCGGGCCCCGAACGGTCCCGCCGCTGCGATGCTGCTGCATGCAAAGAGACGTTGACGTGCCCTGCATTAGGTCCACCTGAGAATCAAGCCAGCGCAGCGCGATCTTCGCCGGCAGCTCTTGCGTACGTGGTACGCGAGCACCTATACAGTCAAGTTGTGGGCGCCGTGGTGGGCACAGCATGCAGCAAGCAATCACAGGGTGTGGTCTTCCGCTTACGGACGCTTGCGCGCAAGAGCTGGGAAGTGATTGCTTTCAAATGCCCGCGATGAGACCCCGCGCGCGACCGCTGCTTCCACACCCTCATGTAATTGCTCCATCATCCGTCCCTCGTCGCGACCACGCGCATTCCTGACACTCGCCTCCTTTGCCTCCCCAACGAGCTGATGACGACGTTTCTATAAGCTCTTCCTTCAATCTCTCATCGACCTCGTGAACATCAATCTCACGAACCTTTTTGGACCTCATTGTCTCGGGCAAGACTTGTCTCGACCGTGACTCAAAACAGTCGTCTCTGACTCGGATTATTGCTGCTGCTCCGGCTCGATCTTGCGCTTGTCTCAGCAGGTGAACAAGACTCGCGGAGACAACAGTCAGAGCCAAGGCTCTCGCATCCAGCCGTGCGCTCGCACCGCGAAGAAGAAGGAAGCCGTCCACACGTTTCACGAGCGTTTGTCTGCACGTACAGGGACCCGTCTTATCCACCACTTTGGCCTGAGCATCGTCACGACATCGGCGGGCGCTCGCCGTCAACACTTGAGGCGGCGTGTATCTACAACGCAGACGATTTGGCATTCTGTGCTCTCGCACACCACGGCGCATCTCCCTGGGTACGTCCACCGAGAAACTAGCGAGACTTTTGGCGTCAAACAAGCCTTTCTCGCAGCCAGATACGTCACCTTTGGTCGCCTGGTGGCAGGGACTGGAAAGTCTTGCTGTCTCGCGGTCCTCATTTTGCGGCGGAGAGTCCCATTGCGCTAAAAAACGCGAATCGAAGGGCCAAGGAGAGTCAGACAGAGATCTTTGTGAGTAGCTCGCGTGACGCGTACAAATGGTCAGATCTCTGTCCCGGTTCGTCATCGGAAGCTGCAAGGTCGCAAGGTCACAAGCAGCGTCGCGTCTCTTTGGCCTTGACCTCTTCTTGCCCACGAATGGTACTCGAGTCGTCCCCGATGACATCGCTCGCGACGGGAAGACGGGTGTGCTGGCACCACATCATACGCTAGCTGGCGCGCAAGTCACGCGGCAGGGCGCAGAGACTGAAGCCGCCCGCAGTCTCTGCCACCCTGTCACACCAGCGAAGACAAGCCAGACAGAGGCTGTGTGCTGCTGCATGGCCTCTGCAGCCTCACTGTCGAGCTGTTTCAAGTTAGAAGCTGCGTTCGTTTCAAACGTAAATTGGCGATTCCGAGGTGTGAGAAGGTCTTTCGCGCTGGGCGCCCCGCGGAACGCCCTTTATACCGGTACGTGCGCGTATGATCGCAGCAAACCGGTCTGGTGCGCTTCGAAAGTGCACGGCAAGCCACGCTCGTGACCCCGCGATGCATTCATTTACATTCGTGATCGCGGTCTGCGTCCCCGGACGGCGCCTCGTGGCGAGACTCCTGATGGCTTTCGTTGAGAATATCGTCTCGGAACAGCCCACGGCGATCTACGCGTTCAACGTGAGACATATCTGGGGCTTTGCGGTAGACTGCGCCCTGCATCATCAGCAGCTCGCATCACTTTGGGCGGACGCAGCAAGCAAGGCACAGCTCCGTCATCCTTTTGACGCACGCGTAGTCAGCGCCCGTCGGAATGACGCCACGCGCTGTAATCAAGAATGAGACTCTGCCTCAAACTTGATATGAGCCGCGCTGGTCGCCAATAATCCACGCTACATATATTGCTCGTGCAACACGTCTAACTCGAGGGCGGACGTTGTCCGCTTCAAATTTGATACGCGGGTCTCGATTACGCGCGGTCATTTTGTAGCGGTTTCGCTTCTACAGCAGCTGCGTGCATGGCGGCGCACTCTTGCGCTTCGGCGTGTTCGACCTGCAATCAAAAGTCGAGCGGTTACTTGTAATATACTGCAGGGTGGCAATGTGTGGCTCCATTCGGCCCGTGCGCTCATCGTGCAACGGCGCTACAGCGTCTAAACGCCTTGGCACATCCACTCCGCGCCTCTGAGCAATCGACCAACAATCTGTTCCAGGTGCTTACTCGGGTCACAGAATAATTGCTGGTGTCAGAGTCTAGGTTTGCTGTGCTGCTGCATGCAGTTAGACTATAGCTGCGATTTCATATGCTGCCGCCAGGTCACTTCGCACCGCCCGAGCTACACGATTAAGTGCACACCTTAGCTGATGGCGGGCTCTCGCCGCCACCTGTGCTCTGTCAGATATAGCGGCTGTGTCCTCTTGCGCTTTCAGAGCCATCGCTCGCGCCCCTTGCCAGCGACCATCCATTCCCGTCTTTGCCTTCATCCGCGCAGCAGTGTGTCCCAATAATCTGACCTACGTTTGACACCCTTCCTCTGACAACACGACAGGAATAGCGGCCAGCGACACCGACGATCTCCATTGGCTTTAGTGTCTCCTTTCGTGGCCTGGGACTCTCGCTCGAGAAGCTCGCAGGCGTTACACATTCATCCTTCGCGACCACGATGCCGCCCTCACAGGCAGGCAGCATCGTGCACCACGGTCATCATCCTGGTGCAGGCTCGCCCGCTGGTCCCCATCCGCATTATGGCTTGCATCCAGCTCATTATGGACAACACGGCGCCGGCGCAGGCGGACCTCCACCACCTCCACCACCTCATGGCTCTGTAGTCGCGCAGCATGGCATGCCACCAGCACCGCATGGACTTGGACCACCTTCGCACCACGTTGTGTCCCACGGGCCTCCTCCTCCTCCTCCAGGATTGTCGTCAAATGGAATGGGACCCCCGCCTGGCGTGCCCGCCTCGCGCTCCATGCAGAATTCAGGACCTGGCGGTGTTCTGCCTCCGCCTGGCGCAGCACCCAACGGAGTTCCAGGAGGCAGTCACGCGGCTCCTATGCCACCTGGCGGACCAGGACCAGGCCCAGGCCCAGGCTCCGCAGCAGGAGGGCCCAGCGCACCCATCGATGGACCCCCCACTCGCGCTTCCTCTGCTGCGGGACAGCACCCCATGGATGGAAGTGTAGGTCAGCCAGCTGGCATCATGCAAAAACTAGCGCAAGCCAATGAGAATGCTTGGATATCTATAGGTAGGTAATTATGCCAAGACTACGCTCGAAGTCTATTGCTTGGCTGATCGGAGCGTCTCTCATTCCTTGCTGCTTGCCGCGCAACCAGGATCTGCTGCCGATGCGATGGAAGACTTCGATAGAGCCATTGCCGCGTACGAAGCCGCTCTCCGCCACAATCCCTACTCTGTTCCAGCCATCAGTGCCATTGCTGGGGTACATCGAACGATGGATCACTTTGAAAAAGCAGTGGAATATTTCCAGCGTGTCCTGAACATTGTACCAGAGAATGGGGAGACTTGGGGCGCCATGGGTGAGTCGATAATGTCGCTGCACGCATTAAGCAACGACCGCGTCTCTGGTGCTCAAGGCAAGACACTTCGCATCGCGCCCACTGCCGCAGGTCACTGTTATCTCATGATGGACGATCTGCAAAAGGCGTACACTGCGTACCAGCAAGCGCTGTACCACCTTCCAAATCCTAAGGAACCCAAGCTGTGGTATGGCATTGGCATTCTGTACGACCGCTACGGAAGCCTTGAGCACGCTGAAGAAGCTTTCGCAAGTGTCGTGCGAATGGATCCCAGTAAGTGACAAGGGTTTCGATCTGGCTATCATACGCCCTTACTTACAACGCGTGCACTCTGTGCATCGCAGATTACGAGAAAGCGAACGAAATCTACTTCCGCCTCGGCATCATCTACAAGCAGCAGAACAAGTACCAGCACAGTCTAGAATGCTTCCGTTACATCCTGTCTAGCCCTCCTCGGCCCCTCACAGAGATCGACATCTGGTTTCAGATCGGTCACGTCTACGAACAGCAAAAGGACGTGAGCATATCCATTGCCCAGATGCTTGCACAGTGATTTGACCACTCACGCTTGTCTTTTCTTGGTCGACCCGTCCAGTTTGGCGCTGCAAAGGACGCGTACGAGCGCGTGCTTGCGGAGAATCCCCACCACGCGAAAGTCCTGCAGCAGCTTGGATGGCTTTACCACCAATCGAGTGCGGGATTCCAGAATCAAGAGCGCGCCATTCAATTCTTGACCAAGAGCCTTGAGTCAGACGCCAACGATGCTCAAAGCTGGTACCTGCTCGGTCGCGCTTACATGGCTGGCCAGAACTACAACAAAGCCTACGAGGCGTACCAGCAGGCTGTGTATCGAGACGGAAAGAATCCGACATTCTGGTGCTCTATCGGCGTGCTCTACTACCAGATCAATCAATTCCGCGATGCACTTGATGCATACTCGCGTGCTATTCGCCTCAATCCTTACATTTCCGAGGTTTGGTTCGATCTTGGCAGCTTGTACGAGTCCTGCAACAACCAAATCTCTGACGCTATCGATGCCTACGCTCGAGCGGCCGAGTTGGACCCAGACAACCCTCACATTCAGCAACGGCTCAACTTACTCCGCAACGCTGAAGCTAAGGGAGAGCAAGTCTCCTCCGCACCGATTCCTCAAGACGTGCATCCTACGGCGTACGCGAGTGTGGGTGGCGCGCAACCTCCAGGGCCCCCTTCGCGTATCGGTGCCAATGGCAATGGACCATCTTCTGCCGCTTTCCCTCCGCAAGGTCTTTCGGGCCCTGATGGCGGTCCAATGCGAGAGTTGCCAGGGCCTAAGCGTAGCCCTTCGCCGCCACAAGGTTTCCGCGGGGGACGACCTCCATCTATCCCCAACATCGACGACCGCGGTACCAAATCCTCTAGTCATGCGACACTGGCTCCCATGGATGCGCCTCCCATCAACGAGAGCGGCCGTTCACCACCGCAGCATCACCGCTTCCCGCACGAACGTACTTCGCCCGGCCCTCGCGGATTCAATCAACCAGGTCCTCCTGGACCACTTCGGCAATGGGACGGCAACGGGCGCAACAACGCCTATGACAGAGAGCGCGAACACGATGGCCCGCGCGATCGTGAGCAAGAGGGGCATTCGCGCCGTGGCTACGGCGGTGCGCCAAGAGGTAGCCACCTTGACGAACACTCTGGCCATAGTGGGTATGCCAACGGACGGAGCGGACCTGGAGGAGCTCCACCTCTTCCATTTGAGAGACAGCCTTACGGGAGATACGATCCGGCCTATGACCGAGAGCGAGAGCGGGAGAGAGACAGAGATCGTGATCGATATAGCCGAGGCCCAGGCGGGTTCGGTCCACCTCCACCGCCCATCATCAGCGGCAGCGGTCGCTATGATCCACTCAACGATCGATCCGAGCCCACTCGTCACTCGGACGCTGGCTCGCACAACGGTGAGCCTACGCGAGAGACACCGTTTGGTGATAGCCACGGCTCAGCGAGTAAGCGCAAAGCTGGTCGTCGCAGTGCGAAGCCCAAAACCGAAGCACCAGGCCCGTCTCCTTCGCGCCGAAAAGCAAACGGCAGCTCTCGATCGCAGTCGCCGGGTAGCTCTCGACCTGCGTCAACCTTCGGCGGCAGCCGCGGAGGTGTTCGAAGTCCAGATCGCGTGAAGACGAGGATGTCGCCAACTTCTGACCGCGGCTCGCCTGCGGGTTCTGACGCCTCGTCTGGCAGCAGACCCCTGGCAGCTGGTCTCAGCGCTTCGCATGCAGCACAACGGTCGCAAGCTCCGGTCGCTTCACGTAGTGTGGATGAGGACTACGACAACGGTGCTGCAGATGCGTTGATGGGGCTGGCTGGCGCCGCATCCGCTTCCAGTAGCCTTCCAGCTCGCCCACCCACTTTGGACCACCCTGCTTCACGTCGCACTGCTTCTCCTCCGGCGAAAGGAGGTCTGAGCGCTGACTCGATGCACAGCGAACGAGCGAGGTCAGCACAACCTGCCGCCCGTTTCCATTCTGCAGATGACGCTCAAGATGCGTCTCGGAGCCAGCAGAATGCAGCGCCGATTCCTGACGATGGCAGCAATGTGCGCGCTTCCAGCATCCTCGGCAAAAGGCCAAACGATGACACCGATTCACGCTCAGCAGAAGTATCACCCCGCCTGACTGAAAAGCGAGCCCGAAATGTGGAAGGCGGCGCAGAAGACGATGCAATGGAGGTGGATGACCGGGTCCAAAAGGATGCAGAGGGCATTAAATCTGCGACTGTAAGCAGCAACACGGGGCCCGCTGGAACGACTCCAAGCAATTCAGATCCCGACGCGAAGCCGCCCGCGCTGGCATCTACGGCATCAGTCGCACCTCCTCAGTCAAATTCTGCGCCATCGCCAGAGGAAGGGGAATTGGACGACTCCTCCACTGAGCGACGCACCTCTCCTGCCGTGAAGAGCACTGCCGCTCCCTCAGGCGACGGCGCTGAGATTGAGGCTAAAATTGAAGAAGCTGACAATGGAGATAAGCCCTGACCGCTGTGCTTCCGTTGGATGAGATAAAAGTTGTTCAGTGGCTCCTTCGACCCTTACTTGCCTTTCCTGCTCTGAGGACCCTTAAGTGTACTTCTTCTCTCGATTGCACCATGCTTCTGACTCTCTACCTCCAAAATTGCGATGTTGTTCTATGCTGCGCCGTGTTACGACTTGGATGTCACAAGCAAAGCTTCTTCTTACCGTTGTCATTTTGTAGCCACGAAGCAGACCAGAGGCGAGAGACGACTCCTCGCCCAACTTCTTACTCAGTACTGCCATTCAGTGACTCCTGCGCCGACTTGAGTGGACGAAGTGCTTGACATTCGATCGTCCGCCGCGAACCAGAAACGGAGCGGTCGAAGTTACAAAATGGACACTTCAGCAAGTGTGCTCGTGCGATTTGTCCAAAGTCTCGAGTGAATTTTGAATCGCACATGCTCCGACGTGCTTCGGCGAGGTAACGCGGTGATGAACGCCGGCAGCGGATTACCGGAGGCACACCTGCATGTGAGGCCCCAGTGGCGCGCCAGTCGCCACTTTGATTCGTGATTCACGATTCAAGATGCTTGATTTGATTTGATTCGATTCGATTCATAATATCTAAGACGTTCACTAGTTGTAAGAGCTATGACTACGGAAAAGACTTGTGGATTGGCAATGTGAATGAATGGCCACTTGCGCAACACTTGTGACTCTTGACGTTCGGGTCCTGTGTCTCTCATCGCTGGCGCGCTCTCCGATCCGCACGCTCGTGTTGATCGCGCAATGGCGCAACGCCCATCTTCGATTCGATGGTCCGAAACGAAGACTGACGAACCATCCCAACCTGCGTTCTGGGATCGATGAGGCTTCAGTCAATCGAGAACGACATTTCGTCTGCCCCTACCTCCGACGCGAGCCCAAAGCGTGGAGTTGCAAGTGAAGCCAGCACATAGAAAGTAGCTGAATATGAGCGACGTCCTGACTCAAGATGCGCGATTGTATAGGAGCTTGAGGCCGAGCTCGAAGTCAGGGCGATCCCTGATTCTGATTCATCCTCAAATACCACGCAAAAACGCCACAGCGACTACGTAGCCAGCCCTTCAAAACGAGTCAAGAGCTCCGCGGATGATAGTCAGGAACCATGACTGGTGAGTGCGAAAGTCACGATCAAAGTTCGAGTGTGGCTATTTAGAACATCAGCATCAATCATCATTAGGCATGTCTGCCCTGTGCTGCTGAGCGTGTCTGCGCCAAAAGCGTCCTCGATTCAGCAGATACGTCCTACAGGTTGGCACAGGTGCGCTTATATTATCATATGATCCAGCGCTACTCACTCGGTGGCCTTGCGGTGTACCGTATATACAGCAGATGTACCCTCCTGTCGCTACCGCTGCATGCTGCTACTGTATCGTGCTCGCTTGCTGCATGCAAGACAGCAGACATGAGAGCAGCGTGCAACCTATCGCTTGCTGATCGAGATGTGCATGCTGGCTATACACACAAATCCGATGTTGCACCAACAGGACTCGTGACTCACGACTCAGACGGTCCGGGTGGATGCAGATCGCGCAAGCCATAGGCAGCACTGGGCGCTTTACTCACGACTCACGACTCACGACTCACGACTCACGACTCACGACTCACGACTCACGACTCACGACTGAGTGTCAGAGACAAACGTCATGCCGTACGTGCGGCTTGTGAATAGCTTGCGCTTGGCGGCCGCGCCTGGTGTACTGTACTCATCAGACTCGTACGTGACTCACTGACAGCACATATATCAGTCACGATTGAGTACGCCATATACTCGTGACTCGTGACTCTAGGTGCACTCAAGACTCTTGACTATCTATTGACTCGACACTCAGACGCACCGTGACTACTCGCGAGCGCGTACGGTATCATCACCAATCTCGCGCCGCCTGTGCTGTTGCAGAGAACACTGGGGCGGAAGAGGAGACTTCGAGAGGGGCGCGCGGACGGAGCGCGCAAGAGCGAAAGCTCATGGCGGCGGTGCATGAGCCCATCATCATGCGAGCGCGCTGCATCACAGGCATGGCCGCTGGCGCCTATGCCCATCCATGCACTTCCGCGTTCCAAATTGCGGACCCAGCACGCCGCGCTCGACTCACGACTCGAAACCTGCGCGGCTGCTGCATGGTTGCTGCCATAGATCGAGCTGCTGCTGCTGCTGCTGCTGCGATGACGCGCCCTCATCCGGGCCAGAGCCGATGAAGTTCACGACTGGTAATATGCCCAAAGGCTCCAGCACTGCTCAAGTGCCCTGACATTTGTTGAACCGTATCACGCGAAGGTCAGACCAGCACAGAGCCTTGCTGCTGCTGGTACGCTTCCCCGCCGGTGCACTCGCACCGCTGCACCCCCAAGCAGGCGAGGACGTAAGAAAGAAACGGCCAGCACCCTATCGCCTGGCCCATCCCTTACTACTCCGACCGAACCGACCTGAGCACCTGCTGATCGCGACCGCGCGTGGCTCGACTGGCATCCAACATCTTCTTGTTGCCGACCGACATTCAGTGGACCAATTCTGTTGATAGTCCAAGTTTTTCAAGATCACCCATCTCCCGTGCCATCCATCTCCTACGGTCCACGATTCACCTCGTATCTCGCGCCCGTGGAACTGGTCGATTTCATCGTGCAGCGTGCTTCCGTAGCTAGACTACGCCTAGCGCTGTGCTGGGAGCACTTGCCCTCTCAACTCCTTCTGTCCGCTCTTGGTCTTAGTTCAGTTCGCAACGAATTCGCCCATTTCTGTCGTCGGCTCTTCTACTAGCAGAGCCTCGTCAGCCGCTCGGAGGGGGGCTGCAAGCACGGGTCTAGTCGTCAGGGAGACAGAACAGCTTTGATTCTAGAGCGGTGGTGGCGCTCTCAGCCACTTTCTACTAGATTCATTGTCGCCAGTGAGTCAAGTTGCGGAGGCTTTTGTCAGGATTAGTATCGTGCCCGTCAAAGCGACGACGTGCGCGAGGCCGTATTTGTTGCTTCTGATCCCAAGTTGACCAGGCTTGCGCTCATTCTCCTGTTTGTTTTGTACCAAGCCTGACATCCTTGCTCTTCTGGTGACGTGGACTATCAAAAGAGGGTGCTCGACATGCTCGCGCTCAATTGGACCCCTCCGCCCTCATCGCCGCTCTTTGACGAGCCATCGTCTGGCTCTGCTACTCAGGATGAGCCTCGATCAGGCTCCAACGGCCCCCTCTCCTCCAGCCCGAATGTCGACAGTCTGAAGCAGGTCTCTCACTCTTCCTCCACCTCGAGTTTGACCGCGCCCACTAGCAGTGCGCAGGGACGGGGCGCTTCTACTTCCCCACAGCCTCGAAGCTACGCTGCAGCAGCCGGTGATCGTGCCCCTGCTCGCTCTGCATCCACTCCAGTACATCAACAGGTTCAAGGACCTCCAGCGTCACAACTTGGCTATCAAATGCCTTCTGTAGCCAATGTTCACGCTGGCTTTCGTGGTCCCGTGAGTCCGCGTTACAATGTTGCGTCTTACATTGCGCCTCCTTCATTGGCGCCGCTCGTGTCACGCAAATGCACTAGCCGCGCAGACTTGCTCACTCCATTTCGCCATCCTTCCCTTGCAGCTGATGCCCGGCATGCCTGGCATGCCGGCCTTTGGTCAAGCTCCGCCTATGGGAACGGCGCCGAACATGGGTAGTCATCCACAATTCGCATGGGCGCAGTACCAACAAATGCTAGCTGCTCAAGCCCAGGGCCGCCACCCAGCCCCACATGACCACTCGGGCTCATCCAACGCAGGCAGCGCTTCAAGTGTCACAGAGGATGGAAGGAGACGACGAACCACATCTGGACCACAGAGAGCGCCACCTCTCACTTACAACGACACGCTCACGCAACAAGCCTATCCCGGTGTCTCTTTTGGGTCCAATGCGCCATCACACATGCGGAACAATTTGCCCGGCGGCACTATGGCATCTTCCTCATCGCATTCCTCCGTCGTGTCGTCGACCTCAAACAGCGGCTCGTCGAACGCACCGTCGAGCTTTCATCCGTATCGTCGAGGAACCAGTAGGTCTGACGCGAGCGCATCCCAGCCGATCCAGTTCGGCGCGGGTACACCTGGTGTTCCACCTCTTCCAGATGCCTCGGGCTCTCCTCGTCTCCGCTCGTCAAGCACCACCTCAGCAACCAGCGCAAATCAGCGCGTGGGAGGCGCTCATCCACCAGTGACCTACTCTGCCGTGGCCGCTGGACGCGCACAGCAGCAGCAGCAGCAGAGTACGCTCGGAGCAGGCTCTTTAAGAGGCGCAAGTGGCCGCAACGCTGGCGTACCCTCCAGCTCTTCCACAGACTCTTTGCCCCGGCGGCCTGATGGGGCCCCAAGATCTGCCAGCATGCGCTCCTCCGACTCCACCACAACCCCGGATACTCGCAAAGACTCTTTCTCTTCCGTCAGCAGCTCTGTCCGTGGCGCTCCTGCTACTCCCACTGCTCACAGTACCACCTTGGCGGCCGGAGCCGGGGGCAAGAAGCCCTCGCCACTTTCTCGAGCTACGAAAGCTTCGAATGGGCAGGCCGAAGATGATGACGATCGAGGGGCAATCTATGGTGGCAGCGATGATGAGACCGCGGACGGTCGCGCGACACCCGTCGCAACACCCTCCAAGAAGGGTGGATTCGGCAAGCTCCGCAAAGCTCTATCATTCTCGAACATGAATGACGTTCAACAGGCCGAGAGCAGTCCTGCCTCCACTCGTTCACCTCTTGCTCGCCGTGTGGAGCCCGCGAATCATCAGCAATCTTCTGGTGACACCAACGGATCTTCCGGCTCAACACGATCCACATCGCCTCCCCGCACTCCAGACAACGGTGCTCCCATTGCTTCGTCGTCAGGAGCCTCGATCAGTTCGAAGCGTAGTGGAAGACCGCCAATCGCAGGATCAGGAGAAGCAAGCGGCAAGCGAAGCCTCTTCAATCGCAAATTCAATTCCTCGTCGGACAATCTCTCCATCTCCTCGACAGTGTCCAGCGCCTCGGTCATGCTTCGGAAGGTGGGCAATCTCGGTAAGCTGGCAAGACGGAGAAGCCTCGCGGGCTTGACAAACATGTTCAACAAGGATCGCGACGCCGGCAGAGAAGGCATCCACGATGATGATTTTGGCGCGCCATCTAACGCGCTGGACGAGCAGCCGGCACCCAAGGACAAGAAAGCAGAGAAGAGCAAGAAGGGCGCACCAGCCGCGGCCTCTGTGTCCCACGCTACCGTCGAGCTCGAGTCCGCAGATATGATGACCCCTGCCGCTTCCTACGTGCGACAACATCAACTGCAAATGCGTGCCGAAGCGGAGGCACGTGCGGAGAGAGAGCGAATCGCAGCCGCGGCTCTTGCGGCCGCTGCAGAGGCTGAAGCTCGCAGCGCGAAGAATCGGTCGAAGACGACTGATGATGCAGCCGAAAATCGTCAAAAGATGGTCGAGAGGGAAAAGGAGCGGCTCAAGAGCAAACGTGGCTGGCGCAAGAAGCTGATCGGTGGCAGTAGTGACCCGACTCCCACTCCTGCGCCAACTGGGCTCGAAACAATGCCTTACACGGAGAACGAGCCAGGAGATGCGGGAGCGCGCTATGGGTCCGCCGCTGCTCAGGCCGGACCAATGGCCGGGTCAAGCGCAAGTGGATACGAGGATTCCAAGTACGATGCTGCATATGACGACGAAGAGCTCGAGCCGCCTCGTTTGCCTGGCATGCGGGCTAGTGGTGAAGACTCTGGCGACGAATTTGGAGAGACTGATAGCCTGCGTCACTGGGGCGAAGGCATTGAGCAAGCAAGGGCTAGTGCTGCCAACGTCAAATCAGTTCGTCCAATCCTGAAAAACAGCCTTTCGGTCAACAACTTGCAAGCAGCTGCAGGAAACAATGGCGGCGGAAGCAGCCCTGGCGGGTTCGAGAAGCCTTTCGCAGGACGATTACGGGCCAACTCTTACGACGCCAATCAGTCAGGTCTAGGAGTTGGTGGCGCCTCAGGAGGGGTGCCGTCGATGTCACATGTGTCTAGCACACCTGTCGGCACCGACCGGATCGACGGTGTTGCCCCACGGCCAGAATCGCCTGCTGCAGGAGACCGATCATCTTCAGACACGACACCAACGTCCCGCGTGCCCCCACAGCCTCTTGGACATCACGCCAACTCGTCGATGCCCACCCTCTCTCTTATGATGAGCCCAAACGGCGGGCCGACTGGCCGTTCGGTCACTGCTCCTCAGAAGAAAAGAATCCTCTTCGCCGATCAGCAGATTTTCCACTCTACATGGCCTGCACACGTCTACGATCGTAGAGGCGAGCTTGCCACGTGCAATCGGCTTACGCCGCTGCTCGCCCAACGAATCAAGGAGGAGCTCAATACCTACAAGATGGAAGAGATGGCCGTTGCTCCTTCAAGCCGCATCTACACTCACTTCTTCGTGTGATTCACCGTGCACCGTGCATCCATACGCGCCGCGCATATCTTCAGAGGACGCGCAACGCAGGCCCGCCACCTTGCCGTGCCACGCGTCAATTCCTAGCCTTCAGCTCCTCGACCTGTATTCCTGATTCATAGAGCTTTTCTGCAGTGAGGCTCCCCAGCACGATAACCGTTACATCGACACGCATACGCATCACTTGATTCAACAACGGCATCCAACACGTCCGCAAGCTGAAAACTACATTCATTTATGACTTCAACCTCTTCCCCTTTTGCGCGCATTGCAAGTTTAGGTGCTTCGTCAAGGCCGCAGGCTTCGAGCGGACGCAACACGACGCGCTGAACGAAGCGAGGTATCCCTGGCTTGATCAACCCTTGTAAAATGGCCGGCCCATTCTGCAGAGTACGAGCCATGCGTTGCGCTGGTCGATTGTCGTTCGCCATTTCCTTGTTCATAGTTCTCAGCCGGCTCACAGGCTGCAACGCTGCCTTTGAGCCTCCAATACATCGAGTCCTTCATCATCATCATTCCCATACCGCTCACGCGTCTCAAAATTTTTTGCTTGTTCGGCCGTAGCTTGCGCTCTTCCAACTACTCTTCTCCCCCCCCCTCCCGGTTTCCCCAACTCAAGGTCTCGATCCGTCCCCTCTCGCATCCTGTTTCACTGACTCGTAAGGTGCTCCTACATACTCAAATGCTTCCTAATGCCCGACCTGTCCCACGAGTCGGGCCGAAATTGGATCTGATTCAAAGCCATCGCTGTGTGACGTGCTTTGTGGAGAGACACACGCAGCGGTGCAAAGACGTCACGAGTGTGTGATGATCAATAAATTGCGTTATGGCCTCCAGCCCGCGCTCATTTCATCGGTCGACGTTCGACGAATTGTAAAGCTCATCCTCGTCTAGGCCCTCGGAAGCGCTGGCATTTTGGAATGCGGGTATTTCGTGCTCATTTTCGAGGGCAGAAAGCTGTTGCATGATAGCTCCGCGCTCATGATCAGTGGAGGAAGAAGCAGAAGCTAGCCTTGCTCGTTTTTGACTCTTTGTCTCTTCGGCAAACTTGCGTCCCGGTACGCCTCGATCTAGTGCGGATGCCCAGTCGCGCGTCTCCACCCTGGACAAAGTGTGGCTGGGTCAGCGCAAGGCATGGTGGGGTGCTATCGTGTTTCGCACTGCTACTCACCAGCCGAGAAGAATGTCAAAGACTTGATTGACAGTGAGAACTTTCCTGGAGTTCAAGGCGCGATGATCGAGGTGCTCTTCGTCGATAGGTAGCCTTGCAGCCCGCACACCCAACGCTCTCGCCTTGTCAAGACAAATGTTCTAGGCAGGATGGGAGGAAACATTCCGCAAGGAATTAGGATCGAAAGCGCTTGAGGCCTGGAACGCAGCATTCAGGGCACTCACTTTATGTCTATTTCGATCGACCAAGCCACCGATCACGTACATCTTGCCAGCTTCAAGGTCGGTCAATGTTTCGCTACCATCCGCTGTCAGGTAGATGATGTCTTGCGCTCGGAAAGCCTTGATTGTGGGCTCGGCTTCCAAAGAAGCATCAGCATCAGCATCAGCCAAGTCAGCACTATCCGCCTTGTTGAGACGCCTCTCGCTGGCGACGTCCTTTGTGGGTCCTGCTGTAACTGGACTCAGCTCGTTCGTGGCGTCTCGCTCGTGATCGATCAAGCTCTCCAGACCACCTCGGGGCACGCGTTCGATATTCTTCCAAAGCTCCCACTTCCAAGCGCTCGTCATCCTTTTGCCGGTCGGACTTTCTGCAAAAGGAACTATACTCCTGACGCTCTCCTCATCCGCCTGCATTTTGGAGAAAGCAGCATCACTGCTTTCGTTGAAGGAAGACTTGTCGGAATGACTTGCGATTTGAGGCCCTGGACCGCTAAACACGAGTCTGCGAAATGGGCTGGCTGAGCTCTTATTCGAGGCATACACGAAGCCAATCTGAGAGCTCATGGAAGTGATCTCCTGCGCAACGAAGTGACATTTGCATAAGCATTTCTACTCTTGATCGTTGATCAGCAGATTGTGCAGCGTCTCGACTCGCCTTGTCAGTCATGAGGTCGTCAAAGCCGAGATCGATGCAGACAGCGGCATCAAAAGGTTTGCGAATCTTCGGCGGCGGTCTCTGTCGAACCACGTCTGCTCCACTTCTCAATTCTGATCGCGATTCTTCCCTTCTTCGAGCTTGTTTCTCCTTTTTCTTTTCCTTGTCTCTTGCTCGCCGCGCTGCTTTCTGAGCTTCAAATCTCTCCATCTTGAGCAGACGCTTGCGCGCATTTTTGGAGAGAGGCTGCTGCAGCTCCTGCAAATTCAGACCCGCTCCAATCATGCCATCACTTTCGGAGACAGCTTGCGCATCGGTAGGGGCTTGCACATCTGTCTCTGAGACGGCACCATCGGGCAACACTTGCTGACGAGCTGCGTAATTAGAAGGACCTGCTTCAGCCATTCTGAAAACGATGCAGGAGAAGTGCAAGGTGCGAATGTTCGCAGCGCTGATGCTGCCTCTCGGCGTCCTGCCAAGTTGATGTGCGACCGTGCAGAGGGCTCTGATTAGCATTCAACCGGGTGATCGCAAGCAGCCTGAAAGGGAAGCCGTCTTCGGTCGTCGCGCTAGCCCTGGAGCATGCGGACGAGTTTGTTTTAGACTTTCGTATGTGGTCGATGAGCTGAGCGGCCGACCGAAGGCCTTCCAGGCAGTCGAAATTCACGAGTGGTCAGTGGAGAGTCGTGATTGTGATAGGAATTGCGAGTCAAGAGTGCCATGCAAATCTCTTGAATCAATAAATCAAAAGCATCAAGAATCGAATGTGAGCGTGGACAATGATCACGTGATCTAAACATCCAAATCTGCATCCTGCCTGGATGTCTTTCGGCCGACAGTTAGCCACTTGCGCGGCATGCATCACGCGCTGGCGATCACAGCCCTCGTCGCCAAGACGAGTTGAGTGAAGTATCTTCTCGACTTCTTTTCATCCACACGCACGCTCGCCCTACCGCACACGGTTCTGAGTACGTTTCAAGCGCGCGCGCCGTCCTTCACATTCTGCTCAACCTTCTCCGAACATTCTCGGACACTTGAGACATCAAGACGCTTTCTCCGTAAAGAAGCGGATACTCGGGAGAGCGTGCTGGGCTTACTCGCAACGGCAGTGCCTTGAGCCGCTACGACAGCTACACGCCCGCAACTTCACAATACGGCGCTGTGATCACAGAGCAGCTGTCTCACTCGACGAGCAGCGCACACCTGGCGCGTCTTCGTCGAGCAACGCGTGCTCGATCCAAGGGCCCAGCAGGTGTTGGTTACACACGAGAAGAGAGAGAGAGGCATCGGATTGGGCAAGTCGTCAGTCCTTTGGACGCGATCCGCTAGTCGCTCATCGAGACGCTTCTGCTACGACCTCACTCCTATCGCCTTGCCTTTCGTCCTTGGCTGCCGTCGAGCTGCTGTAGCTCCCACACGCGGGTGCACTATCCTCGACTCAGCACTCGCAGCGTTCCAAGCATCATCGTGGTGGAATTGTTTGCGCCGCTCCACCAATTGCTTCCTGCGTCGCTCAAGGCCGCGACTTCGAGAGAAGCTGCCACCTTCTCGTCATGTCGCATCAGAACCCTGATCCTACCCAGGAGCAGCACGCGTATGGCGCGGGCCAGCAAAATGGCGCATACAGCGGTGCCGGCGTAGCACAGCAGTCGCATTCGCAACACAGTGCTCAACATCAGCACCCGCATCAAGACGATGAGGGTCCCTATCAGTCGATCGGAGCTTATGCGCCGTACTATCCCGAAACCCACAAACCTTACACTTCTGCTGGCCAATACGCCCAATCAGCTGCCTCACCAACGGCAGGTTTCGCTGAAGCTGCTTCTCAGCATTCACCCAATGCACCGGCTCAAGCGGCACCTTTGACCTCAGACGTTGCGCATGCAAATGGGATGGCGGTCAGCGAGGCAGAAGCGGCGCACGAGTCCACAGAGGCAGCTGCTGGAGGTCGAGGAGATGGGCAGGTGGAAGACTATCCGCCTGGCGAATACACCTCGTCACTCCAAGATGGATCCGGTGCCGACGAAACCTACGCTCAAGCGGATAATGCTCAGGACGGGCAGCACACCGCACATGGCGATGAAGGCCCTTCTGCGTATTCAGCAGCGAGCGGTACGCACGCAGAGGCTCAGGAAGCTTCATACGCCGAAGCCCCAGACCATGAACAAAATTCGGGCGAACAAGCTCGGAACGAAGAGGTTGATGGACAAGACGCAGCACGAGCGGCTGCTGAGCCCGATGCTGATTCACAGAACGTTGGGCAAGCAGGTGAAGGCCAGCCCCAAGATACCAATGCGAATGGAGAAAGCAGCGAGGTGCAAGCGTCGGCCACAGATACAAACGCGCCTGGCGACACGCAAAGCCAGGACGCGGCCGGCGGCGCCCTCACCAGCCTCGAGCCTGATCCTCCCAAGGCCGTCGCATTCGTCACCAAGCTGTACGACATGCTCAACACTGATGAGTGGAGAGTGCGAGATCTAATCCGGTGGTGCGAGCCCAACGAGTATGCAGAGGTGCCGGATGAAAAGCCAGGAACTGCATTTACAGTATTCGACATGGGCGAGTTCAGCAGGAATGTCTTGCCCCGCTACTTCAAACATGCCAATTGGCAGTCATTCCAGCGTCAGTTGAACCTGTACGGCTTCAGAAAGATCAACGATCAGACCCGTTCCACGCCTGGCAATCCCGCAGTCTGGGCTTTCAGGCAGAAGTTCTTTAGGCAAGGCAATCCCACCCTCCTGAGCGCCATCACAAGACGGGGCAAAGAGGAAACGGAGAACACGCGTCGGAAGAACAAGCGCAAGAAGGGCGATGAAGAGGCACCTTTTGGAGCCCTGCCTGCTGGAGAGGATGGGGAGCGAGCTGTCAAATTTCGTGCCGCGCTGCAGGAAGACGAGACTCAAGTAGCAGGGCCTTCTGGTGCGGATGGCGAGGGGAAAGCAATCGAAGGAGTACGTTGGACATCCGGCTCGCGCCTTGCAGGCGGTGCGCACTCTCAAGCCCAGCGTCTCGAACAACTAGCTGCAAGGATTGACGCGCAGAGCGCAAAGTTGGAGCTGCAAACGAATGCGTTCGCCCAACTCGGACGTGGTCTCATCGAAGCCAGAGCAGACGTGGGCAATGCAGCAACTCAGGCCTCCAACGCCCTCGACATTCTTGCCAAAGCTTTCGAAGATCCCGGAGCGCTCAGCAACAGCTCGTTTACGGATGTCAAGCAGCACATTACTTCTTTGCGCGACAGCGCCGCCCGGCTTTCTACGGAATTTCTGTTCTCAGTGCCCACTGATACGGCGGTGATCGCAGCCAATGAGAGCTCATCCGCTGCTACTTCAGCCGAATCGGCCGCACCGTCAAATAGCGCCAAAGCCGAGTCGTCGTCGCAAGCTCGCACGCGATCGTCGCATGCTGATCGGGAAGAGCCTCTGACGCTAGAGCAGATCTTGGCGCGCATACAGGCAGACGAACCTGCTCCGGCAGCAGTCAACGGCACGCAAGAAGCGTCGGCTCAGGATCAGGACGCGGTCATGGATGAAGGATCGAGCGAACAGGCCGGCGAGCAGCCACAACAGCAGGAGCATGAGGCCCATCAGACCACCGAGCAAATCGTGGAGCAAAGTGGTCAGGATGGTCAAGAGCAGGCTATCGACCCTTCGCTGACGGACGACATGCAGGTCGATGGAGCGCACGAGGCTGCCAGTGCTGCAGCACGAACAGTCGAGGTCGACGATACCGAAGACGCGCCGCACGATGACATTGATGATGTCGCTGACGCCGTGCATGAGCAAGAGCAGCTTGCTTCTACCGTAGCGGCGTAGGCATTCTTTGTCAAGTTGGAGTCTTTCCCCACCCATTCTACTCTGGTTGGTTCCCGCCCGCACCATTTCGAACCCATCGACCTTCCTTCTGTTACTTTCTAGTACTCTTCACGTGTAGCATCAAATCGGAATTCTGTTGCAGGACGGGCTGCGTGTCTAAGACTTGGTGTAAGCATGTAGACGATCATGATGTGTGGCAGGCAGTTAGGAGGGTAAAGCTCAGAGGAGAGTATCAGCTTCGTAGCAATGGCGTAGTTTCGGAGGACTCCAAAGCGGCCGGCGGCCTCCAAAGACGGAGCGTGAGGGCGTTGAGAACGACAGATGTCGATGACACCGCCATCGCAAGTCCACTGAGAGAAGGGGGAAGCTCGAAACCTGCGGAAAGCAATGGAAGAACGGCTGGATAAGCGAGCGATCTTTGAACATGACCCTGAACATGGCCCGTGCTGGACTAATGCTGGACTATTCCACCATCAGGTCGGAAAGCCGGGCAAGCCCTGCAGTCCGAACAGGTCTTGCCCCCAATCTCGAAGATGACTTGGCATTACTCACCCAATGGCATCAAAATTCCCGCTGCAGTGGGCAACAATGTGAGATTGAAGGCGGCGGCCCAAACGAAGTTCTGCAACACTTTGTTGGTCGTTGCTCGACTCAAAGAGATGAGAGACGGGATGGAGGAGAGGGGAGCATTGGGAGAGAGGAGAATGAAATCCGCGCTGGTCGAGGCTATGGCTGAGCCGCTGCCCATGGCTATGCCCACATCAGCTGCAGTCAATGCTGGTGCGTCGTTGATGCCATCGCCCTAAGCAGGAAGAAGAAGGGGATCAGAAGAAAAGTCCCCCCAGCCCTCAAGCCTCAACCTCCCGAGACTCACCACAAAAAATACGAGTGGAGCAAGTGCTCCTCGCGATGGACCACGACTGCAGCTTCGACTGTGGCGCACCTTTATGCCTGCTCCTTCTCCACCGTCATCTTGAATCCTTCGGATGGTTTCCTCTTTACCGGCCGGTAATACGCCTGCGACGATGTTCTCTGGTCGAATGCCGATTTGGGCCCCCACAGCTTTGGCGACGGCCTCCGCATCGCCGCTGACAATCCAAGGCTCGATAGCTTGGCGATGAAGCCAAGCCACGAGGGCTTTCGCTTCGGTCCGGACGGGATCTGCGACTGCCAGCACTGCTCGTATCGCTACATTCTTCTCGCTGCGGATGGCCACGAAGACCGGTGACCACGCTTTTGCCTGCCAGCTTTCCACTGTAGACATCACCTCTGCGCAGAGCTGGTCACAACCCGCTTCGCCTAACAAACGTCTGTTTCCAACGTACAGCTCGAACGAAGACTGAATGTCGCCTTCTGCTAGATCAAAACGTGCGTGTAGGCCTTTGCCCGACAGCTCTTGAACGTCGCGCAGCTTGAGGCTGCTCTTGCTATTTGCCGAGGCGGTAGAAAACTTGGCGCAATGATCACGCAACGCATCGGCGAGAGGATGCGAGCTGTTTTGCTCGGTAATGTCCAAGGCAGCCCATACTCTATTCTCGGACAGAGACCCATCCGACGGAAGGGTGATGGTGTCAACGACCTGACCTACTCCCTCGGTCAGAGTTCCAGTCTTGTCGAAGACCACAATCGTCTTCCTCACACCTGACTGAGAAGCCGATTGAAAAGCTTCTCCGCCGCCATTTGCCAGGATACCGTATTTGCTTGCGAGGCCAATACCGGCCATTTGTGCCGTGGGTGCGGCGAGTCCGATGCCACAGGGACATGCAACGACGACAAAGCTGATGGCGAAGCGCAGGGCAAATATGAACCGAGCTCCCGGTTCTGCAGAATGCGGGACCATGCTCTGAATCCAAGCAGGCGACAACACGTAGTTGAGCAGCAAAAGCCACGTGCAAAGCACGATCACCGCAGTATAGACGATGAGCGGGACGAACATGCTCGTTACTCGATCAGCAATGCGCTCAAGAGAAGCTTTGCGGCTCGAAGCGCTGCGAACAACGTCGAGGATCCCATCGAGCAGCTGGTCACCAACGACGGCAGTGACGCGAGCCGTTACCGGATGAGAGCTGACATTGACAGTTCCGGCATACAGTTGGTCGCCGTCGCCTTTGACAGCAGGCAAGCTTTCCCCTGTCAAGCTAGACTCGTCGAACAATGCTCTGCGTGAGTCGGATGTGATGACTAGGACGCTGTCCAGAGGCGGCGAGGAGCCAGTCGGCACGAGCACAAGATCGCCCACCTCGAGCAATTCTACGCCTACCTCCTCGGTGCCGCCAGTATTCTCGGGGGGCTCACAGTCTGAAAGCACCAGGAGTCCCTTTGATGGGCGCAAGGCTCCCAAAGCAGCGACAGAGTCACCAGTCTTGCGCTTGGACCAGGCCTCGAGTACCCTGCCCAAGAGGATGAAAGCAATGAGGAAGACGCTGGTGTCGAAGAACGTCATGGACTCTCCACTGGGCGCACTTGCACCGCGAACCACATTGACGAGCGTGAAGCCGAGGGAAGCGAAGTAAGAGATGGATGTGCCGAGTGCCACGAGGACCTGCGATGAGAGGAGCACGACGAGTCAATTCGAAATCGCGCACAATGAGCTGTTACAGAGCCAGAATGTGACCGACCTCCATGTTGCCCCATCGTAGTAGCCTTTCTGACCAGCTGCGACCCGGTCGCCAAACACTTTTGAAGCTCTTGATGGATCGAGTGTAGAACAGCGAGCCTACGCCGAATTGGACTGGCGTGGCCAGGAGCCACAGGGACACCTCACCCAGAGAAGCGCCGCCCCACACTGGGCGATCGAAAGTGTGCCGCAAGGGATGATGTGAAGACAGCATCGGGGCGATCACACCCAGCACGAGTGTCGGCGGCACAAACATGCAAGCTATGGCGAGCCTGACAATATAATTTGTCAGCTCCTTTCGGGCCAATTTGGCGCTTCGAGAAGCCAAGGATGGCGCTCGCACGTGTTCTACGGAAAAGGCTGGATCCAAATCCTGCAGAGCTTTGATGATGGAGCGCAGATTCAATTTTCGAGAGGGCAGATAGCAGACGCTGATCACCGGTCGCGAAAGACTGAAAGCAGTCACGTCGTCTTGCTCGACGCTAAAGGCCGGTCCAAAGTCCTCCATCATGGCAGAAAGATGACGCTGGACCTTAATTACGCAGTGATTGCAGAACATCCCATCCACACGTATTCTGGCGCTCCTCTCCAAGACGCCATCATGAGGCAGATGCCCATCAGGGGCGGCGTCGAGCTCGAGACCAGCGAGCTCCGCGTCATAGCCAGAGTCTTGAATCGCTCGGCATATCTCTTTCGCCACTTTCTGCGCTTCGATATTGTCATCCGCACGGAGTTTCGCTGACGCTCCATTTTCGAGCAGCGAGACGTTGAATTCGATTAGTATCTTGTCCGATACGCTCGCTTTTACCACCCCAGTGACGTTGCCTACGCAAGATGCACACGTCATTCCGCCAATCGCGAGATTTGCTAGCCATACAGGTGGACCGCTCGAGTGATCGCGAGTAGGGTGCTGCCTCGACTGCTGCTTGTTCATTGATAAGCTAGTAGACGCGATGCTCACAAGCGTCGCGTCATAACCAGCGTCTTCGATGGCCGATCTTAGCGCTTCAGCATCTTTCTTGCTGGACACTCGAGCTCGGGCAGAGTTGGAAAGGAGCTCCACAGAAAAGTCACGCACGCGAGCGGGTAGGTGAGGGGAGTTGAGGCTTTCTGCTGCAGCAGTGACAGCATTTGTGCAGCTCGCGCACGCTTTAAGGGGTAAATACGTGTCACGACGTGAGCAGCACGATAGGGACGAAGTCAGACGTGTGTACGCACTCATGCCACCTACAGCTAGCGTCACGTTGAAAGCCTCGCTAGGTTGCCCAAGGGACTCATCCGGGCCGTCGGAGGATTGCGTCTCGAAGCTCGCAGTGTGACCTGGCCTTCGATTGACTGTATGCTGCGCCTCTGCTCGACAAGCGACACAAGCCTCCAAATGCCGCTTCCAGCGCTCCTCCGTGCGGACCGCATTGCCTTTGTGTTTGCCCTCCGTGTCATGACGGAAGGTATTCACCAGTGATCTCAAGTTGGATAGCGATGCGGAGAAAGAAGATGAGGTGGGCAAAGCTGGGGACGGCGATGTCGTGGCATTTACAGGCAGATCCGCATCGAAAGCTTGCACAGAGTCGAGCCATGGTAGAGAGAGGGACCTGCCGTGGCTGGGACGAGCGCCGACCTCGCGCGTCTCTGCTCCTTGTGGAGTGTACCCATCTGCGCCAAGCGCGTCGTGCACTTGGCTAAGTAGACTGATGACGTATGCCTTGTCCAGAGTGGAGCTCGTTGGAGCTTTCTGCGGGCAAGCAGGATGCGTGAAGGAGACAGTGCTGTCGATGAGCGAGACTGAGACATCTGCGATCGGCTTCGTCGCACTCAGGCCTTGCTTCTTTGCCGAGGAAGCCGAACAAGCTGTGATGCCAGAGACCGAAACGCTCGCTTCGATTCGGTGCGAGAGGGAGCTGAGCAGGCTGCGAATGTGTTCCACGCATGAGGGACAGTGTATGGCTGGGATGGCCAGCGTGGTCCTCAACATCACGCGCGGAACGCGGCTCATAGCGACGAGCGGGGGCGGATCTCTGCCCCGAAGTGGCGAAACGAGCTGCGTAGGATGATCACAGCGCAGTTCCCCCAGATAGCCTCCGCAGCCTCTGTGCGCGGCTTGAAGTTTGGGGGATAGCAGGGAGTGGTGAGATATAGCGAGTCCGTGATCGGTAAGCGTTGTATACATACAGAGAAAAGGGTACACGCGATATGCGTGCAACGTCGGAGGAACGAGGTGATGAGATTCCCTCGCTCAAGACTGTTGTGAATCAATCCACGCTCTCCGGCAGAGGGCTAGCGGCATGCTCTGATGAGCAAAAATCGCTCATCCGCCGTGACCCGCCTCCGGGAAGTTTGATTGGCAACCAGCTCGCGCCGCGGAGTTTAAGGACAGGATGAGCGGCATGGCATGCATGCAGCATCGGTCGCCTGACTGCAGGCTCTTGTCGACATTCTGGAACAATTTTCAGATTCAACATGGAAAAAAAGGGACGAAACGTCGGAGTTACTCGTGACTGACTGCATGCTGTACAATCACGTGTGAACGACTAATATGTAACCTGTGCAGCTTGTTGTGCCGCGGTATACCTTCCATACCTCATGGCGGCGGGTTGAGGTGCAGATGAATGAGGCTTTTGCCGTATCTAATCTTCAAGCGGTGCATGCATGCATGCATGCATTTTCAGCGGTACAAAACAAGAATACAATCATGAGCAGCGTAAGTCACAGGATAAAGTATTCCGCTGCTGCCCCCCTGCCCCCCTGTTGCCAAACGACCCATTCGTGACTTCACCCTCGTTGAGTGCGCAGCGCAAAGCGCAGCGTGCACAAAATCGTGAATTACGAATTTGAATTCTTTGATTGAATGTTCCAAGTCGCGAGTTGTGATGCGCCATGGTCGCGGCCGGGTCGCGGTGCCACGCATGCAGGCACCACAGTCGCGACAGCGCAGGTAGTTGTGATAAACGCTCGCGATGAGTAGTAGCGCAGAAGAGGAGCGAGATCGAGTGAGGAAGTACGGCATTCACATTCTGACTGCAGAGTATGTATGATCGCAGGGCACGGCTATAGCTCTGCTCTCTGTGTTCGCTGTGATGGCTGATCATCGAAATTCGGTGCGCGAGCGAAGATTCGCACTTCACTGGTGACTTGGGTGCTTGCTGTACGTACACATACCTGGTAGCTCTGCAGCGCCTGCTGCGCGCGCGCTATGTGCGCGACAAAATCACACTTGTTGCGAGTCACAGTGTCGATGATGCAAGTAGATGATGTTCATGTCTGCGCGACCGCCGCAACCTTCCACGCTCATACCTCTCCACCAGCAGCCCTGACGCCATTCATCCGAATGGTCGCGTCACCCATCAACTCACACTCCAACTGATTCAGCGCTTCGTCACCAAACTCTTCCTCATTTCGGCTTCAGCTCAGCGCACGTCCTGTAGTGCCATCCCTCGCAAGGCCCAGGCTGGCCCACATTCGATCGCGTCAAAGCCAAGGTGCATGCCGAATCTGAATCCAGATTTCACCACGGACACAAGCCAGCATTCTTTGCAATACTGCTGCAGAAGGTCACCTTACCTAGCCCCGAAGTCAGAAGGCGCAGAACCCCGCACCAAAGCCAAAACATGCCACGTCTCTTTCGTCGAGGTAGCGAGGACCAAGGGCTCTCGGGTGAGTATGAGTGGTCGGTCGTCCTTTTGCCGTACCCTTCACACGCGTCCGAGCAGCGGCTCGGGCAGCCTCGCAGCAGGGCCGAGCCGTGCAATGAAGTCGATCGCTTCATACGCTCTGCGACGAGCGTCATCACTCAGACGCCGCCTACGTTCACACGCAACTCAATTCCACCCGTGCTGCCCGTATTTCACATTCGCTTTGCATCGTCCGCTCTCGCGTGGCTTTTTTCTTTCTGCTGACCTTGCTCTTGCATCTCTACCGTCCCGATGATTCTGTCAGAGGAGGTAACAGTGCCGAACACTCAGAGCGCAGACGCCGCAGCAGCAGCCCAGATCACCCCAAGCGCTCGACGAGGAGGCTTTCTATCCAGTCCATTCCGGCGAGGCTCTGTCCAAAGCACAGGAAGTGCTGCGAACGCAGAGCCAGTTTCTGCTGGCTTTCTCGAAACAAGCGCTACTTCAACAAACCCCAGCTTAGCGCCGCCATTTTCAGGTCCGCCCACAGGCCAGCGCTTTTTTCCAAGAAGCTTGACCACCGACGCACCTGCTTTGGCTGCTCATGCACCAGCCGGTCCGATCCTTCGCAGGCCTAGCGCTCAAGCTCACCAGAGCCGAGCGCCGCGGAGCGTGACCTACCACCCCGGCGCGGGCGACACCTCGGGGCTGGACTATGCTAGTGAAGGTGAGGCCATCAGAGCCCTTAATGCTGGCTCATCAGGATTTCACCTAGAGGGTCGCAGCTAGTGAGTGGGTCGATCCCTCGCGCCTCTGCACGGTCATGCTCACGCTCATGATCATCCTCACAGTCGCTTTCAGCCTGGTACGGCGGACGGCGGGCTTTACGGGCGGTCTTACACCGCCACACAGAATACGATCCGCGATAGCACGGCACAACTGGCTGGGATGGCTCTGATGTCTGATGATGAGGGAAGCAACGCATCGCAGTCTCGTATCGAGGAGCGAGATGAGCCAGAAAGTGGTGCAGCAACACCACCTGACGCAAATCTGGCTGGTGATTCTCTTCAGATCGGACCTCAATCATTCAAGCCCTCGTCATTTGCCAGCAACACATCCCAGCAGCGCGGCCCTAGCAATCTGAGTAGGGCTTTGGATCTTAATGGCGGCTTAGCGGCAGCTGTCGACATTCCATCGGCGAGCAATGAGAGCACTCCAGTTGCTGGTGCACGCTCGCCAAACGTCACTGTAGACTCACAAGGGGCAACAGACGACACCACGCCCCGAGCCGGTCTCGCACTCGCAGATCTCGAAGCTGGAGAAGCGACTCCGTTGCTTCGGGCGAACGAATCTGCTTCAAAAGCTCGAGCTCGTCAACCTGCGTACGGGGCTGCCTCCTCCGCGAAGAGCAGAGGATGGTCAAGGTCGGACGCGCGCTCTGCCTATTCCATGGGCGCATCCGCCATCTCCGTCCCTGGCATCCACGGGGAGCACGGCGCTGAAGATGCGCATGCGGGCGAGTCTGGCTTCAGCGTCAGGTCATGGCGTGGCGCTCAGAGCGCCGGTCACGACATGAGTCAGTCCGTTTACGGATCAGGAGTTCTTGCTGCTGCTATGGCAGAGGCAGCAGCTGAAGAGGCGCATGGACGAGCTCGGACGCCCGTCGCTCCTGACGCCTCCTACACATCCCAAGGCCATGCACTTGCTATTGGAAGCTCAGAGACGAATCAGTGGTCGCAGCAAGCCTTGCCGCCCTGGTGGGGGCTTTTGCCGACGGGTCTGCGACCGGGAAAAGGGACGAGGAAGGTGAAAGACATGTCGAACCCTTTCAATCATCTCCGCAATGCCTTCGAGTCCCTCAAGAAGCTGACCTGGCGGGACGTCGGAAATGCCAGCGTCGAACCGGTGCGACTTTTGCCCGCTGTCATTTTGGGACTTTTGCTCAACGTGCTCGACGGCGTTTCTTACGGACTCATCATCTTTCCAAACTCGTACCCGATTTTCTCTGAGTTCGGAGGCGACGGCGTATCTATGTTCTTTGTCACCTGCGTCATTAGTCAACTCGTTTACTCTCTTGGAGGTTCCATCTTTCGCGGAGGTAATGTGCGTTATCGTTGGACTGCGGTCACGCATCGCAGTGCAGCTCTTTGACGCTATCACCTACCTTCTCTCCACTCCAGGGCTCCATGATGATCGAGGTCGTGCCCTTCTTCCACATTCTGGTGCAAGGCATTATCAATGAGCTAGGGGACGAGGATGCCGCAGCAGTCATCTCGACCACAATCGTGTCGTTTGCCCTCTCTTCCATCTTTGCTGGTGTCGTGTTCTTGCTGTTGGGATACTTCCGACTCGGCGTGCTCATCGGGTTCTTCCCGCGGCACATCCTTGTCGGCTGCATCGGCGGTGTCGGTGTATTCCTGATCGAGACTGGCATGGAGGTGGCCGGCCAACTCAAGTCTGAGGGAGGTTTCAATTGGGATCTGCCGACCTTCCAGTACTTCACTCAGAGCTGGGACATGGTGGCTCATTGGGCCCCAGCACTTGGTCTTGCCGTTCTGCTCAGACTTATCACCGCCAAATTCCACCACCCGCTGATCTTTCCGGCGTATTTCTTGGTGCTGCCAGTGCTCTTCTACGCATTCGTGGTTGGTGCCGGTCGACAATCTTTGCCATTCCTTAGAGATCATGGCTGGGTGTTCGACATCGGCGATGCCGGCAACACGCCATTCTGGAGATTCTACACCTACTTTGACTTCCGCAAAACCAGTCTCACGGCTCTCTGGTCGACCATGCCGACGCAACTTGCGCTCACTTTCTTTAGCATTCTGCACGTCCCACTCAATGTCCCCGCGCTCGCTGTTAGCGTCGGTGAGGATAACCTCGACACCGATCGCGAACTTGTGGCGCACGGTGTGTCGAACATCTTGGCGGGTCTGCTTGGATCTGTGCCAAACTATCTCTGCTACGTCAACTCCGTCCTCTTCTACCGCGTGGGCGGCGGAAGTCGCCTTTCAGGAGTAATGCTGGCCGCTGGTACTGCAGGCATCCTCATTGCCGGTCCAGGGGCTATCAGCTACCTGCCTATCGTCGTGGTGGGAGCTCTTATCTTCGTGCTTGGCATCGATCTTGTGAAAGAGGCGCTATGGGACACGATTGGACGAGTGAATCGTTGGGAGTATTTTACAATCGTGGCAATCATTGCGGTCATGACATATTGTGAGTCGAGATGCCGCAGTGTCCCCCTTCGCAGCACCGGACTCAGGCTCTTTTTTTTCGGCCGCAGATGACTTCGTGGTAGGCATCCTGGTAGGCATCATTCTCGCTTGCTGTTTCTTTGTCATTCAGACGTCCAAGCGCAGGGTCATTCGGGCAGTGTTGGACGGTAGCATTGCCAGAAGCACGGTTCGCAGGCATGCAACTCAAAGGCATTTCCTTGATGCCGTAGGCAGTCAAACACAGATCGTCAAATTGCAGGTGCGTCGCAGTCCCTTGCGTTCATATGGCTAGTCTGCCCATCTGATGGTCACACCTCACTCTACACAGGGCTTCCTGTACTTTGCAAACATTTCCTCCGTCGAGGAGCTGATACGGCGAGCTCTTGACATTGCAGCTTGGCAGCGCAACCCCATTCGTTTTCTCATCGTCGACTTTAGCTTGGTATCAGGCATCGACTTCAGTGCAGCGGAGGCCTTCACCCGCGTTTCACGCCTGCTGGACGCCAAAGATGTAGTCCTGGTATTCTGTGGACTAGCGCCTGACAGCGAGGTCGGCGATGCTCTTCGCGCAGTCGACATCCATGAGGGAGTCAGGCTAGAGATCTTCCAGCATCTGAACGAGGCTTTGGAGTGGACCGAAAACCAATTTCTGCGCAGCATGTACGCGTCGGGGCTTGCTGCAGGCAAACAATTCACGCAGGCGTCGGTGGCTGCTGGCGATGGTCTCGATATGCCGGACAAGAAGAGAAAGCCTGCATTCGTGTTGGATGAAGCCTTTGAAAATTCTCCGCGCAGGCATCATCTGCAAGAAGCCGCGATAGAAGCTGCAAAAGGGACCTCGGACGCAATGGCTGCTGTGCGAGCTGCTGCTGGTGTTGAAGAAGGCGGAACAAATCCCTCCACGTCGGCTGCCGCTCCCAGCACTCCCTCAGAGGTTGCCATCCAAGCTCCACCAGCTCCACGTGTGCAGCCTCTTCCCCTCCTCATGGCAACTTTTCAGGCTTACAGAGATCCCCAGGCGGGCGAAAAGGTCTTCATGGAGCTCGCGAAGAGCTTTGAACCTCTTCACTTGTCCGCTGGCGAGACGCTTTGGGAGCGCGGTGATGAATCTGACGCGAGTGAGTCAGAAGAATTACTCGTGCGACCAGCACGTGACCTGACACTCTACTCTGAACCCTCTTGCACAGTGTATTTGATTGAGGCTGGCATCTTGAAAGCCAGGTACGACTTCCAAGAGGGGTACGAAATCAACGAAGCGATGCTTGCGGGCACGATTGCTGGCGAGGTGAGTTTCTCGGACGTGATTAGCGGTGCGCGCTTGCCGACACGCAGCGTGGCTGACTCTTGCGCAAACTTTTTCATTGCGGACTGGCAGATGACGTTTCTTGCGCGAGAACCTCGCAACACGACTGCTTTTGCGGACTCGGACTGTACGCTTTGGCGCATGGACAGGAGATCGCTTTCGGAGATGGAGAATGGTTCTGCAAAGACGTTTAGCATCTTTATTCGCATGCTTTTGCGAGCTTCGAACGAGGAGAGCGCTGGATTGATGTCTTATCTAGTCAGCAGGTTATCCTGATAATGTATACGATGGATATTTTACATGGAAGCCCCCCCGCATTCGACATTGAGACTGCAAACATTTTACCTTGTGCCTGACATCTTGCATTCAATCGACAGCCATCGAAGCGTACGCGACAAGCTTTTTGGAGGTGCCAGCTTCGCATGTGTAGGCTGCGCACAATGTGAGATGAAAAAAGGTTGGTTTGACTAGCACAGCGAGATCGCTCGGGAGCCTTTGTGTAGATTGTTATCTTCATTGCAACATTGCGGGGCTGGGCTGGAATTGTATAGCTGGACCATTCGAGAGAAGCGCGAACGGACAAAGTGGACGAGGCCAAATGCAGAAGAGCGGGGGTCTTTTGCGGGGAGATTGGTGGATGGCACGACAAAGTATGGGAGGAGGGGAGGATTGCGAGATGAGCTCAAATTGGACGACTGTCTCGAATCTCTGCGTGTGCTGTCTAGCAGTTGCAGCCTGATTGCGGAGCATCGGAATCGAGCCTGATCGGGTCGGGATACTCCGAGTAGAGCTCAGCTTCCGCCTCTTGTTGCAGAGCATTCTAAACGGGTTCATAAAGGGCGTCAGCATCCCTTGCCACCTTTTCTCCGAAAGCCAAATGATGTGTCTACCAAAATACTGACCTTTGCAATGGTCTGGAAAGCGCTCTCTACATTGATACCATCCTTTGAGCTCGTCTCGAAATACGGGATACCTCCTTTGGACGCGCACCAGTTCATTGCTCGCTTCTGAGAGACCTGCGGGCGATATGACGAAAGGTAAGTTGGTCAGCACGAGACTTGAGGTGGCAGGGCATCACAGCAACGGAATCATGATCTGGGCGGTATCCCTCCCACTCAGAGCAGCGGTGCCGCCCTGACACTCCCGTCGTCGAACATGTGCTCGTCACGGACATCGTTGCTTTTTGCCGGGCAACTGCAACTTGATCCCTTTGCAGCCTTTTCACGCCTACTGCCGCTCTCGTGCACATCACTATCCTCCCGCCTGCTCTGCACCGCACAGCACTCACCATCCTCTTGCTCTCCTCTACATCAATCTTGTTGCCGAGGACGACGAATGGGAAGTTTTCAGGATCATGAGGAGCAGCCTGAATCAGGAATTCGTCTCTCCAGCTATCCAGAGTCTCGAAAGATTTGGCAGAGTTGACATCGTAGACCAGCACGCAGCAGTCTGCACCTCTGTAGAATGCCACTCCGAGGGATTGGAAACGTTCTTGCCCGGCCGTGTCCCACAGCTGTTGCAGACAGATGCAGGTGGCGAAGAAGTGAGCGAAGTCTTCATCAACCCCAGATCTGGCTATGGACGACAAGGGCAATAGCCGCAGTGACTCACCTGCATCGTCACCAATCGATCATCGACCAAGACTTCTCGAGTGAGAAAGTCGGCTCCAATGGTGGCCTTGTAAGAGCTCGAAAAGCGCTTGTTGACATCTGTACGTGACCACATGATCATCATTCCACCAATCAATTGGTCGCTTGTCTCGATATTCGATTTGAGCTCCCTCTTGTTTACTCACACTGATTCATCAACGATGTCTTGCCCACACCAGAATCGCCGAGGATCTGGGCAACCGCAAGAGAAAAGACAGGGAGCAGAAGCTTCAGCTGCGGCACACTCCGATCGAACAAGACTCGAGCCCACTCACGATGACCTTTTCCGAAGACAGACGGAGAGATGGCAAGAAGGGAGAGAGGATGAGCAAAGAGGTGGCAGATGGAGACCGAGGCAATGGGACCAGTCTCCGCTTCCTACTAGGAGACATGACTGATCGACGAGCTTCCAGATGCTGTCTCAGGTTGCACAGCACCCAACCGCACGCTTCTCCGCTGCTTACAATGCTTTACTCACCTTAAGCAGCACCTTCTTGCGCGTAGCCATCTTGACTATCGAAGGGGTTAGTGGGCGTTGCGATACAAATCTGTGAGTCGCTCTGAACGCGAGATCGAGTAATGTCTGTCCCTCGTAACCTTTGTCTGACCGCGCTTGCGCAAGCTGGCACGCTAACCCAGGGTTCCAAGGCAGGCGATTGCTTCCGTTGTCAGCTCAGATGATCCAAGTCAGGGCGGCGTGTATGCTTGTGCTGTTCCTCCCACTCGTAATCGCCCGCTTCCCTTCGTTCTTGTCGATGTGTGAAAAGCTGAGCAGATTGAAGTGAAGAGACGACAATCGAAGGGGTGCCCGATGACAAAGGTGCCCAATGCAGATATCCGTAGTGTCAAAGCAGATGGACGTCTTCGTGCTAGCCCTGCGCTTTGAGTAGTCAGATGATGACTTGCGTGCAAGAGGCGAGCAGTGAGAGGTGAGTGCATACAGTCAGAAGTGTAAGTGCCGAGTGGCTTTCCCTCGTGATTGTGTGCAGTGGCAGTAGCAGTGGCAGTGGCAGTGGCAGTGGCAGTGGCAGTCGCGGTCGCAGTCGCGGTCAAAAGTTACGCGCGAGTCTGATGAGTGTGAGTATCTACCGCGCGCGCACATCCGTCCACACGCCCGCGCGGCCACAGATTGTATAGCTGCTGAAGACGTGCGTGCAACAGCGCAGGGCATCGCGTGCGGCGCTTGTGCTACAGCGGCTGCCATAGGCGACGATTGCGCTCGACGCGCGCACATGCAGCATGCATGCATCGCCTCCTCTGCGCAGCTGAGGGGCTCGATCATCATATGCCATGCCGTGGCTGGGCAAGCTCGCGCGGGCGGGCCTACGCGGCGGACTGCACGCGGCAAGACCCTGCCCTGCCTGTCATATGGGCGATACCGCGCTACAGGCTGATCAGGTTCACCTTGCTCGAGAGCATTCCGAGAAGACGGCTTTCTTCAACAGCCTTCATCCCACGTACGCTCTACGCTCCACAATTTCACAACCAGCAGTAGTCGTGGTGGGCATGGCTTCTACAATTTCGCCATGTGCAAGTTGACCTGAAGTTCGCACAACTTGGCCAAGTTATATACGTCGCAATTCGGAATAGGTGTGGTATCCGCAGAAATATGCATCTTTACAATGAGAGGCAGTTGAAAACATCGTCGAGGCTAGTGAGCCCATTGGAAAAGTGTGGGAAGAGTGTGGAGGAGCGAAGGGCGTGCAATGGAGGAATGCTCGCCAGCAAGTCGAGCGCGAGCGCAAGCTAAAGCTACTTTGAGCTGAGACCCTTGTAGAGTTTGACCATGAACTTGACTCCAAGGTTCCTATCAAATTTGATGCTCTCCAGCAAGTACGAAGGCATGCCGCTCTTCAATAGCGCCGAGTCTCTATCTTCGTCAATGTGAGGGATGTAGATCAAGTCTTTGCGTTCCTTGCTCGATGCTGGGGAAGTGCTGTTCACAGAGCTAGGCAGCTTCGACGCTCCTTCCTCCAGCGTCAATTGCAGATCTGAGCAGACAGGCAGAAGAGCTCCAGATGGGTCAGCGCAACGCGACAGCAAGCGCAAGGCTGCATCTTGGTGCGGGCGTCAGACTCACCGTGGTAGCCAGGACAGGCAAAGACTGTCTTGAAGCGTCTAAAGTCCTTTTCCTTGTCAAACGTCTCGACATTGTTGATGACCAAACCAGTCAAGTCCTCGTAAAGCGTGCGAATGGCCCTGTCGTGTGCTGCGCTCTCCGAAGTGGGCCTGACGGGCGCTTGAGCTGTTGCGCTGCTGGAGGGGAGACGCTGCTTCATGAGTGCCTGAGATGAAGCCACCTCTTCTCTGAGCTCCTTTTGAAGTCGCTCCACTGAAAGGCGGCAAAGCAGTAGAGGCGCGTCGCTCGCTTTAGTCACCTTTATCGTCTGCGACGAGGCAGGTGCGGCCAGTGAAGGCCGCCCTTCTACCCCACTCACCTTCCGCTCTCGCATCATCCCGCTCGTTCAAGACTGTAGCCAGAGTGGCATCGTCTACCGCTGTGGTGCTCATGTGCGCGCTCCCAGCAGAGCGACCATCAGCTTCCAGCGCCCTGACTCTCCTCTCCGCAGTGTCCAACCTGATCTTGAGGGTGTTGATCATCTCTTTCTGGTCTGGAGTGGACAAAGACGCGTCGCAGCGTCGGGAGCAGATGATGACGATGATGATGACGATGACGATTTCAGCATCGGCAAGGACCATCCGGACAAGTCTCTCTTCGACGCCTCACGCTTTGCACGGCTCTCTGCTACCCTCTTCAACTCGGCCAATGCCCTTTCAGGTTCAGACTTGCGCAGCTCTCTCAACGAGTCGAATTCTGACTGCACAGCATCCTTCTCCGCCGTCATCTGCAGAGCAAGCGAAGCGTGTGAGTCGCGTAAGCGTGCAGTCATCGTGTGCACAGAGCAAGATCAGGACGACGCACCTGTTCCAGCCGCTCTTCTAGCTCAGCGATTCTATCCTCCGGCCTCGACTCAGCATCCGTCCCCGCCGCCCTTGCTCTACCCGTCGCTCTGCTTGCAATCCTGCCCTTCTCCGCATGCTGCTGCTGCTCATCCTCATCCTGGCCCTTCCTCTTGTTCGCGGCAGCATTTCGGCGTCCCTTCGTGACTTGTTGCTCTGCGTCAGACGCCTCCGAACCCGAGTCGACGCGTTGAAGCGAAAATGTGCCGCCCCGCACGTTCTCCTTGTTGCGCGAAGAGTGAGCTGTGCTCGGCATCTCAATGTTTCAGCTTTTGTGGCGTGGGGGAGGAGAGATTTGTTTGGATTCGGCTCGGGAGCGATGATGTTTTGAGTGGATTCGACGATGATCGAAGTCGTGAGTATAGAGCAAAACGTATAGCGGTGCTCATTGGGTGGTGCGTGATGGATGGTGCAGACTCGTTGAGCTGACTCCAACACACAACACCGCCGCAACGCCGCGCACGCGCGGTCTGCCCAAGCATGGCGCGAAAACGCGTGCATTCGGGTTGTCCATTAGCGGTCACGTGATAGCTTTTCGCACGGCCCGCCGTTCGGAAAGTGTGTACAGTACAGCTCGATCCCAGCAGCAATCGCGAGTTGAGCTGGAGGCGATGATCATCAGCTTGTACCCCCACCGGGACGTGCAGCGATTCTCCTTTCACCTCTCGCTCCATACAGGCACGGACAATAGTGTCCAAGGAGATCATACAGAGCCTCATCAGCCGCGCGACTGGACAGCGCGACAGACCATCATCATGGCGCCTGTCGCTGCGGAAATGGAAGGTACAGGGACGGCGGGCTTTGCAAGCGGGTCAGGATCGAGCGCAGAGCAGGACACCAGGGCTCCCTCAAAACTCTCACCCGCCAAGACGGCGTGGTCGCACCTCGTAGACTATACGCCGCCCACTCCGGCGCCGGTGCAAGAGAGGCACAGGAGCAGCGCCGCTTCTTTCGTCCCACCTTCTAGTCAGGCCTACTTTGCATCCACCATCTACCAGCAGCACAGACCCCTGATCATCGATGCTGGGTCCTCCGAACTCAGAGCAGGTTGGGCGAATGACGACAAGGACGCGCTACCGGAGTTGACGCACGAGAGTCTGGTGTCGAGGTACAAAGATAGGAAGAAGGGTAATCAGGTGCTTTTGGCCGGTGCGGAGGCAAATGTCGACGGACCGGCAAAGGGAGCTGCGAGAAGTCCTTGGGATGGCGACGTGATCACCAGTACAGATCTCCTTGTGAGTCGAATTGGGCTTCGAGAGCTGTTTTGGTCGAGTCATAATCTTACGACCTCTTGAATACCCTCATCGACCTCCTTTGGGCAGGAAAATCTCATCGATTACGCTCTGCTCAAGCTGGGCGTAGCCAGCGAAGGCAGCGTTGAGCATCCCATCGTCATGACAGAGACGCTGTGCAATCCATCTTTCCCTAGATCACGTGAGTCTTCCGAGCCGTCGTACACGAGCCTGTGCGCTTACAGCATGTCTTCTCTTTTGTCCCGCCATCTCCAGTCACTTCCGAGCTCCTGTTTGAGACTTACGGTGTGCCTTCGGCTTCGTACGGTCTAGACTCTCTATTCTCAGCTTATGCGAATGGTCTAGAAGATGCGCTCATCGTATCTTCTGGTCATAGCGGCAGCCACATCGTCCCCCTCGTCGGGGGAAGAGGTGATCTGAACCATGCCAAGAAGTACGTCGTCGTTCGAAGACACGCGCTCGTCGGCGTCTTTGCGCACTGCTGACCAATTCTACTCCACCTCTGCTCGGGAATCAGGCTCAACCTAGGGGGCTCGCACGCCACCGACTTTCTCCTGAAGCTGACACAGCTCAAATATCCCGCCTTTCCTACCCGCGTCAATCCATTGCAAGCCTCGTGGATGCGTCAAGAGTTTTGCTACGTCTACACTCCAGCGACATCTTCATATGACGACCACATCAGGCGACTTTCAAACCCTGATGAGCTAGCAAAGGAAGACCGGATCATCCAGTTTCCCTTTGCCATCGCAGAGAAGGAGGAGAAGACCGAGGAAGAGCTTCAGCGACAGGCCGAAAAGAAGAAGGAAAGCGCTAGGAGGCTGCAGGAGCAGACACAAAGGATACGGCTCGAAAAGGTGAGCATTGGTCTCGAAGCTGTCATCGCGAGCTGCGTGGGAAGACTGACGTCCTACGCTGCTTCCAAAATCATACAGCTGCTGCAGAAGGAGAACGACTTGGCGTACTACAACCAAGTTAAGGAATTTAAAGCGAAAGAGCGCAAAGCAGATTACATGGTGAGTGCAGCGCCACCCGATCGTTTCGAAGCGGCGAGGTCCTGACATGCTGTCTCTTTCAACATATTTCCCCAGAAACGTCTTGAAGGAGAAGGGTTCGAGACGGAGCAAGCACTAGAGCAGACCACCAAGAAGCTCGAGGCTGCTCTCAAGCGAAGCCGTGCGAGAGAGCTAGGTGCAGAGGATGAGCCCGCCGTGAGTTGAATTAAAGGTGTCGTGCTGCAATAGTGCAATTTCGCATCTTGAATCCAGCCGCGCGGCACCTTGCAGGAGCCGCCGAGTTTTCCGTTGGTAGAAGTTCCCGATCATCAGCTGGATGAGGAAGGTGTAAAGGAAAAGCGAAGGCAGCGCTTGATGAAGGCGGGCTACGATGCTCGAATACGCGCCAAGCTGGAGAAGGAAGAAGAGAAGAGGCTGGAGGAAGAAGCCAGACTTAGAGATGAGGCTGAGAGGGAGAATGACCCTCGAGCATGGGCTTCCAAAGTGCGGGCACAGTATCAGGTGCGTGGCGCCTTGAGAGCAACGCCTGCACGCCCTACTTTGAGCCCTAAACTTACTCTTCATACGCTTGCAAATCTTGGCCCCTTGTAGGAGTCCATCGCCAAGGCTAAAGACAGAATAAGACGAAAGGAAATGCTGGCCGATCGCAAAAGTTTGGCTGCTCAGGAGAGGATGAAGACCATCGCCAATCTGGCAAGCGAGAAAGGGGACACTTCGGGTCCGGGAAGCACAAAGAGGAAGCGCGGCGGTAGAGGCGGTGCCGACGGTGAGTGTATACTGAGCTTCTCGACGCGCGGGCTTTGTGGACAAAGGCTGATCGTCCCTGTGATGCGTTCACAGCTGATGATGGTTTCGGCGCCAATGACGACGACTGGTCGGTCTACCGCGAGATTGTGAGTTGAGTCGGGTGGCGTGCAATGCATGCTGTGTCTGATGCTCACATCACCCGGCATGTACAGGGAAACGCCGACGACTCTGAAGAGGAGGAGGACGACAAGGTGACCCTTGAGCAGCTGGAAAGGCGCTTACTGGATCATGATCCCACTTTCACGGAAGACGACACTTGGTCCGCAGTCGAAGCTCGCAACAACAAGATCACGACAACCTTTCTGAGGGGCTACTATCCTCCTTGGGACCCCGATGATGTGGCTCAAGCGCATCAAATCCATCTCAATGTCGAGAGAGCCAGAGTTCCGGAAATACTTTGGCAGCCGAGCATCGCTGGTGTCGATCAGGCTGGACTAGACGAGCTGGTAGCTCACGTCTTGCGCAACTATCAGCAAGATGTCAGGAAGAGGCTGGCCAACGTGCGTGCTGCCGGGTCGATGTCCCCTTTTGGTGAAATACTCCAGCTGACTCTTTCGTACGTCTTTTTGCCGCTGCTAGAACATCTTTGTGACGGGACAGCATACGCAATACCCAAATTTCGACGATCGCTTATGCCAGTCAGTGAGGGCGACGCAGTCGGTGGATGTACCTGTGCGAACCGTTCGGGCAAGAGATGTGAGGTTCGATGCATGGAGAGGCATGTCCATGTGGTCGTTGACGGACGACTTTCAGAAGACGTGCATCACCAAGGCCGATTGGCAGGAGAAGGGAGCGGATTACTTGAGCGTTAGACACGCTCATCGGTTCACTGCTGCGATGTACGACTAGGAATGCCAGCGGTTTTTTTTTTTTTTTTTTTTTTTTTTTTTTTTTTTTTTTTTTTTTAATT